TGTGTGTGTGTGTGTGTGTGTGTGTGTGTAGACAGAGGGAGAAGGTGCCTTAGTGGGCTTTAGGACTCTGCCCAGCATATATCCCAGCATAGAGTTGGCATGGGGAAAACTTTGTCCTCTGGGTTGTTTGGAAGGTCACTTAGAGTGCCCCATTGACCACTACAGTCTAGTCCGGCCCTTGCTGAGTAGACACCAGGCTGAAGAGCCAGAGAACGTGCCTCGTTCAGGGGTGGGGGGAAGGTCAGCCGTGTCTGGAGGCCCCTTGGAATGGGCTCCTCAGTTGGCTCTGTTCTGAGTCTCCTGGGGAGACAGCAAAGTGGTACCTGCAGGGCTGCAGCCCTTCCCTAAGGGAGGGGATATATTGATGCCACTTCTGTGGAGCTGGACTTCCCAGGAGACCTTTGAAATAAAGCACACTGCTCTCAGCTTTGTACTCCGGGAGTGCCACATGGGACCAAGGCCCTGGGGCTTAGTGTATGTACTGAGGGACCTGGGACACTGGGCATAGGAGTGTTCTGAGACGGTGCCCATGCACCATGTTGGCCATCCTGGAGGGGGCCAGGATGTCAATCAGGATGTGAGCCCCTCATATCTTCTCAGGGTTCAGGGTGTGAAAGGTCCTGCTTCACACTCAGTCAGCATATGTAGTTCAGTATTGCAGTTAAATAACCATGCCAACCCATTACAACATGTATTTAATTATGTCCATAATGGTTACTGCTTCAATGTAAAGGTCACGCAAGGAGTCCTCAAGGATTCTGAGGCTGGGCCTATGGCTCAAGTGATCAGACCCATAGCTGTGAGAAAATCTTGGGCTTTTAAACAGTTAACGTATTAACTAGCATTTTTGGAGATTGTCCTGTGAACTGCCTGCTGTGTGTTATTTCAGATGGAATTGCCAGTTTTTGCTCTCATTGCCTGCTCTGCCCACCCCAGCTTTTGGTTGTAGCTGTGGCTGGTGGCTGTCCTCCTGCAGCTTCCTGGGGACAGGAACAGTGCTGTTCTGTGTGCAGGACCTGGTGCCTGCAAGGTAGCTGCACACAACAGGCACTCAGGAAACATTTGGCTGAGGCACACGTGCTGGAGTCTCACTGAGGGCTCAGTGAGGGCTAGATGCCTGTGCGGGCTTGGTAGGGTCTGGATGGAAACAGAAGAGGATGTTCAGGTGGGCGAGAGCTGCAGAATTGCCTGGGAGAGGTCTGAGGTGGAATGCGTAGATACTGCTGGGATATTCGGTGAGAAGGCTGGCCGACATTGTTTGTGGAGAGCCTAGGGATTTAGATTTTAAGTAAGGCAGTAGGAAATGGAGCAACGCTGACCATCTTCCTCCTGCCACATCATTCCCTCCATAGAGGATGACCTCATCTCTTGGCAGTGCTGGGCCGTCGCGGTGCCCTGTGGCCTGGTACACATGCCATATAGCCTGGTGAGGGCTTGAGAGGTCATTCTGGCTTGCTGCTCAGGTTCCGGGTCTCCTGGGCCCCTAGGATCAGGGGGTCATGATGAGTCCTAGGGATGGGCATGGGCTACAGGTTTACCTGAGGACACTGCAATGCAAGGGCATAAGGAAGCATGGCAGAGCCCCCACCTGTCCTGTTTATCCTGCACTGTCCTCCATCCCACCCTGAGCCAGATATACAGACATAAAGGAACACTAAAGGAAAGCCCCCTTACCACTCCCAAACCCACCAAGACTAAAACTGAAAAGAAAAAATTAAATTTAACCACTTGCCAGTGTTTTCAAGTGCTTCCTGTGCCCCTAAAGCATTTTGTGCTGTAACTCTCTGGTGGAGCACGAGGACACACACTGGAAGCCCCCCCAACACTGCTAGTCCCTCTGGGAGCTCCCATGCTGTGTCATCATCACACTCCTGTGCACCCCCACACAAAAATCTCATGGTGCTCCTGATGGTTACACATGAAGAGGCTGGAGAAAGCGAATTCACTCACGACAATTCATCTGTGAGGAGTCAGGCTGAATTCAAGAAGCGGAAGCTGCCCTTTTTAGCCTCCCAAGTTGAGCAGGCCCCCTGCTCTCCAGGGTGCCCGCTCTCAGGGGGTGCCTGGACACCTGCCTCCACACACACAGGCCAGCTAGTGTTGACTGGGGGCCAGCCCAGTAGCCTTCCTCAAGAAGGCAAGAGCTGCCCTGCTTTCCCCAGGTGAGAAGTGGATGACTTAGGGAAGCTCTCTGTACATCTCCACCCAGATCCTTTCAAAGGTGTTAAATGAGGCACATCGTGCAGCAGCCATCTGGATGGCTTCCTGCCTTTCCGTCTCTGCTGGGAGAAGTGCCTGCTTATTGTCTCCAGTAGTAATATGAGCGGCTCTTCTCTCTCCCCCTGCTCCCCATTCTGTGGGAATTGCTTCTTCTGTGGAGCCCTGCCAGGGGCTGTTTACAGCAAAACCACCAAACCCTCATTGGCTTCCAGATGGTTTTGCTTCCAAATACATCTTCCCTTGCAGACGATGACAAGGTGATCTCTTCAGCAGGTGAGTTTAGTTCATGTGTAGGGACTCTATCCTTTCTACAGCAAATGTCTGAGGGTAACTTAACAAAATAATGGTGCTAATAATGACAGCATTAATGATAATAAATGCTGACACTGATTGACTCTTACCAAGTGCCTGGACCAGTGCTAAGCCCTTGTAAGGGGATCAGTCTCACTTAACAAGTGAGCCCTTAGTTAGCAGGTCAGGAAAGTGAGGCTTAACCCCTAAGTAATCAGCCCGGGTGCCACAGCTAGTAAGTGGCAGTCCAGAATTAGAGCCCGGGCAGGTGCCCCAGAACCACGCCTTTAACTACTGCTGTCGGCTCTGTCTTGTCAGGGTCCTGCAGCCCTGGGAAAGAGGCGCCTGTGGTAGTGTGCCCAAGGTGAGGTCCCTGCCTTCACGGAGCACACGGACCAGAATCAGTTCCCAGCCTACCTTTCCTCTTCCCCTCTTCCAGGCAAGTGCACACGGAATGGCAGCAGGAGAGTTCTATCCCTGATCATCAAAAAGCTTGATAATGTAGTCAAATGGAGCAGATGTTAGGCAAAAACGTTCATGTATGTTCTGTACACTATATAATTTCCCTCTCCCTGTTGTCCCGGAATCTGGGAGATGTCCCATCTGTTTACATTCCAAATTTTTTCCCTAATTTTTGTTTCTGGAATGAAAGGGTTAAACCCAGACTTGGTAGAACTTATTACTTTAATCCAGGATTATGATAGCTGTGGAAAGAGGTCACTCTGCCCTTTGACCTCCCTGGCTAGAAGAGAAATGATGGTTGTCCTGACTTGAGATCTCGTCCTGCCTGGCTATGAGGGGAGCTGAGGTCCGAGCTAAGCCGTCTCTCCACCAGGAGACTGGCTTAGGTGGACACCAGAGGGCGAGGGGGCCACATGCTGCCTTTTGTCCTTGGGAATCAGTTTAGGATGCTAATGTTTAGAGGGATAGAGGGATGGGCAGGAATACTCACGTGAAACTAATTGCCACCAAATCAGCTCTTTGTAGGCACTGCTGCTCTTTGGGGCCAAATATCTGTGGTGTCAACCCCCAGGGAGAGGATCTCAAAGTCCCCATCCCACTCTGAGGTACACCAGACTACCCAGACTCACAGGGTAGCAGTGTGAATCCTCTCTCCTACCCAAGTCCCGCTGCTTACAGATGGGGAAACAGGCCCAGGGTGAACTAAACTCAGCCACTTTATCCCTTTGCCTTACCTGCTGAGCTAATGAGGCCCAGATAGGCAAGCTTTCAAGAGAGTGGCGAACGCTGGCTATTCTTAGGCAGAATTGCCTTTACCTGGTAGGAAACTTGCAGGAAATCTGCAGGAGAAGTGTGGGAGCTGGGATTGTAGGTTATAGTCCACGATGGGAAGGGCTAGGCTCTAGGGCTGTGTGCCCTTGGCAGAGGCCATGGTCAGATTATAAACTGGGAAGTCTTCCTCAGATGGAAGAGTCTGAACCCGTCTGCCTAGCAGTGGTGGCACCTCTTGGGTGGGCCAGCAGGATGCAGTGCTGGGAGGTGGGCAGTTAGGCTGGGACGGCTACAACCCCCTGCAGCATGGCACCTGCTTGCCCCCCACTTCTTGGGAGAAAGACCACCAGGCTTGCCTGCCCTGCTGACCTTCTCTGCTCTCTGTGAAGGTGGCTGCCACACTCAGCTGCTACTGCATGGATACCTCCAGGCACTCAAAAAGCCCTGCTTTTCTAATCAGTGAAGAAACCAGCTTTGTCTGCCAGGAACCAAAGCAGAGCAGCTGATGGAAAAAAAAAAATTTAACAGCTCCGTGTAGAGGGAGCAGAAAGGAAACAGCGAAGCTGGAAAATGGCTTAAAAACCTGGGGGCAAGGCCAGTCCTGGCAGCATCTGGCCAGCTGCCTGGGGGCCCTCCTGCCTGCCCACTGGGTCTTGTGACAAATGCCCTCTGACAGCCGAGGAACCACAGCTGTCACTGGAAGGCGCGGGCCGGCAGCCAAAGGCCCGCGGCTGCAGGGGCGTCTCCCGGGCTGGGAACCTCATTATCTCTGCTGTTGGCGCAGGAGCCCCAGGGGGCACAGCTGCTCTCAGCAGTGTGCTGCAGGAGCTGCCGGCTCGGAGGGCTGTGTACAGGGAGGCCTATCCTGCCAGAGGAGGCTCCACGGGGCAGCAGGCCTGGAGATTCACTGTCACATCACTCCAGTAAACACTCCTGGTTCCAGAACTGTGCCTGGCCCTGCCAGGGTTCAGAGGCACAGATGGTGCCTTTATTCTAGCAGTTCTTTTTTTCCTTGGGCCCCCAAAGCAGGATTAGGTGCAAATGATGAATGACTGGAAAAAGAAAGAAACAAGGACACAATCAGACTGCCCAGAGCTTGTCTGAGGAAGGACAAGGAGGTCTGAGAGTTGTGGCATTTTCCACTCATGTCTCTGTCATCCAGGAAACTACTTGCTATTTTCCACCTGTCAGGATGAGGCCCCTTTCTTCAGGTGATATATGGGGTGGATAATGCGTGGGCTTGTGCAGGCTGCAGTTCAAGTTTGAGCCCCCGCTGAGCCTCCACATTCCTGAGTTCTCTTTCTGTGGATCCTGGTAAGGATGGCCCAGTGTTTGTGATAGTGAGGACGGGCAGTCACAGGGGATGCTGAAGTGCCATTGAAGAGTCTGTCTAACTCTCGCCACGAACACCCTCTGCACCCGGGGAGGGGAGGGGATGCAGGATGTGGGATGGATGCTGGAGGCAGTGGGACTGGCTGTCGTCTGCCCTGCTCACGATTGATGTCCAACCTTGAGCACGGTGCCCAAGGCCCCTCTGCTTTGGAACACCCTCATCTGTCGGGGGAGCACCTGCCCTCGGCCCATGGAGAGAAACGTGTTGGTGGGGGGGCCATGGAGCTGCTGTCATTGCTGTCACCCGGAGCTGGCTGTATGTTACTGTCCCGGAGATGGTTTTGAAAAGCGGCTGCTGTCATTTTCTGTAGCTCTGGACTGGCAGGGGCAGGGGCAGTGGCACCTCTGGTAGGTGGTGAGGCCTGGTAAAGGACCTTTATTATTATGAAAATCAAGCCATTTGCTGACTTGCTGTGGGTCCACCTTAATATCTCCCAGGCCTCAATTGATGCCTGATGTGTTTGGATCAGGGCTGAGGCAAGAAAACACCAGGACTTAGAAAAATGTCGTTCCCCCACAGGAGCAGAACTGTGATGGGCAGAGCCCTGATTCCTTGTGTTTGTGGTGGGAGCTCAGGGTGGTGCTGTGTGAGCTTGCGTGGGTATGTGCAAGTGCAGGGAGACAGAAGGAGAGAGGGAGGTGGAGCATGGAAGACCATCTGGCTGGGCACAGGCCCAGCCCAACAACCCTGGGCCCTTTTCTCCCCTCCTCCCAGATAACTCCTGCTGTCTGCCATGGGAAGGAACAATAGAATAATAACCTGGAAACTCCTCTACCCTTTTCTAGATACACCTGAGGTCTCTCCCTGCAGCCCCTGAGCAGATGTCCAAAGTGGGCCAGCTCCCTAGACCTGTCTGGAGTCACTCGGGGGCCATATCCCGGTCCCAGGCCCCAGGCTGGGTGCCATCTGTGTGGAAGCCAGACGAGGAAGGTGGCACATGCAGGGCTTTTCTGGCACAGCTGTGCTCGACACTGTTAAAGCCCTCCTAATCCATGTTATTTGTTTCTAATCCCTCTCCCACCTCTCTGGCCTGCGTGCCACTCTGCAGGACCTTTGGTCCCAAGTCGGAGCCTGTACTGAGCCCCAGGCATGAGAAGGCCACGCATCTGCTGCGGCATGCCCGCATGAAGGCCAGGACCCAGCCTCTCCGTGCCAGCCATGAGATCATGCCCACCATTGCCCAGGGCAGCCGGTGAGTGGGGCCCAGGCCACGGTGGCCTGAGCAGGCTGTGGTGGGGAGAAGAGATGGGATCTAGCCAGAATGCCACTGTCCACTCCTCTTGACTGTCTGTGTGTGTGTTTCCCATGTCAGGCACTTGTTTCAATTCATTTAGTCAACACAGCTTTACTGAGGGCCTACTGAGTGTCAGGCAGTGAGGACTGGAAGATGAATAAAACATACTTTAAGCCCCCTGGGGGGACAGAGATCACAGTATCCAGGGAGGAAGACGGGCAAACAGATCAATAACAATGCTGTGGACTGTGGTGTAGAGGGGGAAAGATGTGCATGCATGTCTGGAAAGGACGTGGAGGCTTGAGAGGAGGTAGCTTCTAAGCTGGGGCTTGAAAGAGATGCACATACTCACTGGGCACATGAAGGAGGTCAGGGTGAGCCTCCCAGGGCAGAAATCATGAGCAGAAGCACTGTGCTCAGGAGTTAGGCTGGGCTGGAGTCCGGGACATGCTGGGGTGTGGGGCATGAAGGCTGTATCGCTTAGTGGGGGTTGGTCATGGGCAGGACAATTTGGATGTCATCCTGACAGCTGGGAGCCACTGAAGGATTTGAAGCAGGTGGAAGCAGATCTCATTTGCATTTCAGTAGAACCATTCTGGACACAGGGATGTGTTGGACACAGGGGACTGGGGGCAGTGAGGAGACTGCACCATGGTCCTGGCGAGATGCGGTCGGGAGGAGGGAGTAGAGACGAGATCGCCAAAAGCCAGAAATAAGCAGGCTTAATGAGGCAGTAGAGAAGTACTTAAGAATCTGGAACCAGACTGCTGAGTTTAAATTCTGGCTCTGCCACTTACAGGCTCTAGGGAAGTGTCTGTGCCTCAGTTTCCTCATCTGCAAAGTGGGAATTATAATAGTGCCAGTCTCAAAGGTTGTTGTGAGGGTCATATGAATTAATACATGTCAAGTTTTAGAACAGCACCTGGCAGGTAGTGAGTATGATGTGAGTGTTACCCCTTAATTATATAATTAACTAGATGTGGAAAGTAGGGAAAGGGGAGGCATCCAGGACAGAGCCCAGGGTTCTAACTTGGTATCTGGAGGTTCGTGGAGTCTTAGCCAAAGGGTAAAGCCTAGGTGCAGGGTCAGGCTTTGGAGGGGTTGCCCACAGAACATCCTTTGAGATACTTATCAGGCACTTGCATAGGGGATCTATAGAGGAGGAAAGAGGTCAGAACTGCAGATTTGGGCACTACAATGATTTCATGATGCTGGAGCCATGGGTGGAGGTGAGCTCATCAGGGATGAAGAGACAGGAAAAGAACAAGTTCAAGGACATTTAGACCAGCACTTCACATATATGGCTGCTCCCTGAGTGACATCTCACCCCAACATCATATCTGTTCCGTGTACCATGCTCCTCAAGGAACCACTTACATGTAGATTTCACCACACCAGAGCGGGTGCACCTGGGCCTGCGAAAGAGCCTGCCAGCCCATGCCAAATTGCTCTAGGCCCAAGCAGGACCGTCTTTGTGGCTGACAAGGCCCATGGCTTCCTTGGGACAGTGGGCTGCTGGGTCTGCTGGTTTCTGTCAACACAGGGCACTACAGGGAATGAGGATTCTCAGTGGACCTGGCCTATGTGCTCTTTGGTGGGGGATACTGAGCCCACTCTGAAGGCCGAGGACCTTCATGGCACCAGTATGAGCAGAGGGCTGTGGCCTGCCTCTGTGTTCATTGACACTCTGACGCTTAGCAGAGGGGCTCAGGAGACCCTAAATCCTGGCAAGAGGTGCCACATAGGTTACCCTTTTATTTCCACATTTTGTGCCTTGTGTCCCTCTGGGGGGCACATACTTAGGAATGGGTATGACTTCTTTGAAACATGCTAAGCCTTCTTTCCCACATATGCATGGGGTCTGGAGCCTCAGACTTCCCACTGCACTTTCTGCAGGTACTTAGGTTGCACTGGGTAGCCTCAAAATAGGCAAGACTCTCGGCAAAACAGCCCGGGCTCTGTGAACAGACTCTTGGATACTTCCTCTTATCATGTCAGCAGCTCACAGCTCCAGTCACTCACCTTGAAGTAGGCTCCCTTTTGCCAGGCTGTCCCCTGGCTGTAGAAATGCTGTGGAAATGCAAGGTGACCCACTTTAGCAGCTGCTGTGTCCAGAAAAGAATTACTTTGACTTGGCAGCACTGGTGAATCCTCAGAGTGTAGTTGAATAATCAATGCCAGATGGCTTGCTACAGATGCTTCTAAAGGTTATGCTTGTCAAATCACCCTAGAGAGCCATGCTGAGTTAACATGGAGATGCCACACAGGCCCCAGGCCTCAGTCAGATGCAGAAGCTCCCCACTCCCCTTCCAGCCCAGAGGCATCACTCCTTCCAAAGAGCAGCTTGGTGAAAGATGGATGGAAGGTGGGGGGCAGGCAGAGCAGTCTGCATAAGGCCTTCTTTATCCCAGGTCTGGCTGGAGGTGGCTGGGGCAAGCCTGAATAGACAGGCTTTTCCAGGAGGTGAAAAGATAGCAATAGCTACATTTTCTGGAAGCAAGTCAATGTAGAAATTGAGCAGCTCCTAGAAACACAGTCTCTTGCTGTTTTGGGGACTGGCACCCCTAGGTTGGTATTCCTAGTCTGAAAGGCAGAACATGGCAGCACATTGCAGGGCCTGGAAAGGTGATGCCATAGGTGCTGTTGTCCCATGTCAGTTCGTGGCTGTGATGAGACTGCAGTGCTTGTGTAGGTTGTGTTGATTGTGTGGTCCAGATAGCATTATTACAGAAAGTCGGCCTTCGGGAAGGAGCTTCCCATGGAGGCTGTTCACGTCCAGGTTCTGAGGCAGACAGAGTCCTCTCGGAGACAGGGGACGGTGGCGGTGTCTCAGCGCCTCACCTCGGGGAGCTTGGCGCAGGTATGGTGTTTGCTCACGGCGGAAGTGCCTTATCAGCTCCATGCTTGTCTCCAGAGTCCTCACGGAAACTTTGCACACCGTTCCCAGCACTGCTGATGGAGGCCACTAGGTTTCAGTAACTGAGCTGAAGGTTAGACAAAAAGTGTTATTTATACCTTTGACGTGAATTCCAGATAGGCTCAATTCACCATCTTATATGTAGAAGTTAAGGTCACTGATGTGGCTGAAAGGAACCGGACCCCCTTATTATTAAGAATGTACTGCCTCTGATGCTGGGTGTTTTTTTTCCCTCCGCAGAAAGTACAGCCTGCATCCTGTCAGCAGAGCAGGGCATTGCCCTCCAGGGCCTGCGCAGGGGTGGTCATATCTAAGCCTGTGTACCAAATCTCCCAGTGGGCCTTCCCTGCACTGAGGGGGCCTTCCCTGCATTGGGGGGGCTTTCCCTGCTTTGGGGAGCCTTCCCTGCATTGGGGGGGCTTCCCTTCATGGGGGGCTTTCCCTGCTTTGGGGTCCTTCCCTGCATTGGGAGGCCTGGCCAGTGAGGGCATCCTACCTGTGCAGCAAGAGTAGAGCTTCTCCCTGGTAGGGCTCCCTTGGTGCATGTCAGGGGAGCTGGTGATGCTGTTTCTCTGGCTGGAGTCTTCCCTTCCCAGGCAAGAATGCCCTGGAGAGTAGACACGGAAACCCCACATGGACAGTCACCCCACGAGAGTGATTGTCCCACAGTTCCTTCCTTGGAGCCTGAAAGGCTAATGAGACACACATGTGGGAGGGGTCCTCAGGGGCTCCAGGGCTTCACAGTCACCAACAAAAAATTGTCATCAGCACAGGTTCAGGTGAAACAAGCAGAAAATCAATCAAACTGCAATAATCCACAGTGCAGCCCTTATAAGCAGAGGATCTTCCTAGCTCTCAAAGCAGGCAGATCCACTTGCTTAGCAATAGTTTCTTTAAAAAAAAAAAAAATTTCTCCTGGAGCAGAGCTAACTGGGGAAAGATTCTGGAGTCAGGAGTAGTGGCAGGTATGCAGGCTCCCTTTGCCCATGGCACCACAGGGCAGTATAGACACCTAGGGAGTGCCTCGTGTCAGACTCCAGGGAGGCCCCCAGCACAGGCACTGTGGCACTTGTAGGCTGTAGGATTTAGGGAGGATTTACTCCTGCTTGGTGTGAACTGGGGACTAGGATACGTGTAGTGTGACATGGGACCTTAGCTCGGCTTTATTCTGCCAGCTCAGCATTCACAGTTGGGTAAGCACAAAGTCCTCTCCTGATGTGATCAGAGGCCTGGGGTCCAAGATTTGAGGTTGTTGTCTATCTGACATGGCACAGGTGAGTGAGTGCCTTAGCTTTCAGCCAAAGCTAGTTCCCCTGCAGTTTCTCAGGGAATCAGGCTTGGACAATTCAACTCTGACCTCTCAGTCCACCCTCCGATCCCACAGGGCAGCTGCTATACATACACATCACACTCCACTCCATCAGCAGTCCAGACCATTCCAACCCATCAGGGCTGTGAGGCTAGTCAGGGGCTTTACTGTTGAGATGCAGAGGAATAGGGTGGTTAGCAGCAGCCATACCTCCAGGTCACTGGTCATGTTCACTTGAGCCAGACAGGCTAGGCCATTTATCCATGCAAAAAGAATAGTCTGGAAGGATGCACTGTCAGTCCAATAAGTGCCATATATAGTTCTAGAAGTCCTCTAGTGGCCACTCTTTCCACTGGGGGGAAGATTCTGGAGTCAGGAGTAGTAGCGGGTATGCAGGCTCCCTTTGCCCATGGCACCACAGGGCAGTGTGGACACGTAGGGAGTGCCTCGTGTCAGACTCCAGGGAGGCCCCCAGCACAGGCACCGTGGCACTTGTAGGCTGTAGGATTTAGGGAGGATTTAACATGGCATGTTTTGACAGTAATTGTGAAGTACAGGTGGTTTCTTCCTGCTCTTATCTGAACTCATTTCCTTTTAATTGCATACCATAGTTTTCCTTCTGTTGGGTAGCTGTAAATCTGGTGAGGAAGGAATCCACTGTAAGGCAGCCTTTTTGAGAGCACTGGTATCCTTCTTCCAGAACCACTGAAGCATCCAGTTAGAGGAGGGATTAGTAAACCCACTGGCTGCTCCACACACATTTCATTATGTTGTTGGGCTTTCAGGGCAAGCCTGAGCATTGTGCTATGAATAGTATGTGTTGAAGCAGAGTTTAATTCTTATAGTAGATGGACGGGGAGAAGGAGGGTTTAGCCAGGGAAAGCTTCAGAGGTGCTTTGGAGGACTAAAAACAGTTGATATAACACAGAAAGTATGGCAGCATAGAAAACTGTCTGGAGAGGTACATTTCTGGGTAATTGGAAGAAAGTAGCAGATCCCTAAAACAGAGGCTCCTGTCTGCAGACAGGGCGTGACCACCAGCATGGTCAGTGTCTAGTTCTGTTTTCATTGCTCCTTCTGAGGGAGAAAAACTTCTTACAGCTAATCTTTTCCCAGCTGCTCAGGTGCTGGTCAGTCCATGAACTGTCTCAGGTGACCACTCCTTTGTAGGAATGAGGAAGGACCATGTGCTCAAGGCAGGCCCTTCCAGCACTAACCTGTGATGACAAGTGACTGGTACAGGTGTTGAGAGGAGGGAGATTTATTATTAGTTAGGTTTCTGCAGAGAAAGAGCTAAAGGATGCGTGTGTATATGTAAAGGAAGAAAGATTTATTTTAAGGAATTGGTTCATGTGATCATCAGGGCTTGATAAGTCCAAAATCTTCAAGGTAGATTGGCAGGCTTGAGATCCAGGAAGAGTTGCAGTTAAAATACAGAGGCAGTCTGATAACAGAATGCTTCTTGCTCAGGGGAGATCAGCCTTTGTTCTAATAGTGCCTTCAACATTGCATGAGGCCACCGGATCGCAGAGGATAGTCAGCGTTAATTGAAAGCCACAATCTAAATGTTAATTATATCCAAAAAAACATCTTTACATAAGCATCCAGAATAACGTTTGATCAAGTACTGGGCACCTTGGCCTAGTCAAGTTGACATATAAATTAATTATCAAACATGGTGTCTATATGAGAGCTAAGATTTAATGAGAGGATTCAAATGTGGGCAGGTTAAGAAAGAGTCCAGGAAACGGTGGGAGGGCTGCATGAGGTGGGCAGGGTGAGAAGCCTGGAGGCCCTACAAGTGAGTGGGGGAGACAGAGGGGAAAGCAGGGAGGAATGTGGAGGGCCTGTATTTTTACCCCAAAGACTGTGAACTTGATCCTGTGCCTCCTTGGGGGCTGGTGTGATAAAGCAGTGCTCCACGAGGGCCAGCTGACGGGGGCAGAGGGGCTGGGTGAGAGAGCACAGAGGGGTCCAGTGTGAGTGATAAAAGTGAAAAATGAGAGAAATGTGGTGAATCCCAAACACTTAGATTGGTGGGGAGGCTGCTGCAGGGGAAAGGAAGGGAGAGGTATGGTCCTTACTCACTAGCCTTTGCTACGGAACGGCCAGTGGGCCTCACAGGTGACATTTGTTTTCTTGAGCAGAGCAGGAGTTTGACCACCAGCCACAGTGTCTCCCAGAGCACGAAAGGATGGGGACTCTTGCTTGCACAGTAACTGCCACAGCCTGTCCGGATGAGAGTGTGTATGAGACTGCGAAAGGGCGGGAGCCATGTGGGAACAGAGGTTGAAAAGTCCAAAGAGAAACAATAGTTTTGCCACTCTCTAAGTTTTGTCTAAGCAAGATGATTAGGAAGCCCAAATGGAAATGTTCTGGGAGCAGGAATGCTTAGAAACCCTGACTTCAGGTCCCACACAGTCTCCATAGAGACTTAAAATACCCTCTTCCCATTGAAGCTTTATAACAAATAACTCTGTTTTGCCACAGTTCCTTCATTGCACCAGATGCCCATGATGGCCAGGCTCACATTCTCAGGATGCGTACGCACACCCAGCACAGGACTTCCTATCATCCTCAGTACAGTCCTGAGCTTAATGATGTTTCATTTTAACACAGGCTGAGCCAGGCAACAGGGAAGCCAAATGTAAAGAATTTGTTAGTGTGTCTCAGGATCAGGATGGGCTCCTAAGCTGTTCTGGTTTGCTGCCTGACCCCCCCAGGAAACCGGATTTGGGGTAACTTTGGGGTGGTAATTACCACGGGGCACCTGTGCCCCAAGGTGCCTTTCTCCCCATCTTCCTGTGGTGATGACTCTCCTGTCTCCCCATCAGAGATGGTGGGAGAAGCCCAGCCTTGGACCCGAGAATGACCTTTGCCTTCAGAGACAATCTCCAGAACGGGAATACGAGTGACTCCTCCAGCGGAGAGTCCAGCAGCGGGCAGTGGCCCAAGCCCGGCACCTCGCCATCCCACGTCCGCTTTGAGGACGAGTCGGCCTGTGATGCCGAGTCCCGCTACCTGGAGAGGCTGCAGCAGCGCCAGCGCCAGGTGCTGAGCTCTGCACTGCAAAGGGTGGATCCGGGCCCCCTGCGCTGCAAGCCCAACCTTGCCCACTACATAAGTGGGGGCTGCCGGTGCAGGGACGCAGGCAAAGGGCCCCTTTGCAGGCTTGTGGGCAGCCAGGACCAGAGGGGCCTCCTGGCACCGCCTCCCGCCCCGGGCAGTGAGGGGAAGTGCTGTGCCTGCAGCAGCCGCATGGAGGACCCACACCTTGGCCAGGGGCAGGCACCCCCAGGTCCTCGGGTACTCCAGGAACGTGAGGCCGCCTGTGGGGTGGAGGAGGTGCAAGTGGAGCCCCTCAGCTCTTGGGGCCCCAGCACCCCAGTGAGGCTCCTCCCTGCTGAGCAGGGGCTCCACACGGAACGCAGCCAGGAAACGCACATTGGCCACCCACTGCACCCCGAGGAAGTGGACTCTGTCCTGGACAGCACAGACACCTCCGACAGCTGCAGGACCGACAGTGAGGAGGTGGGGACCCCTCAGCCCGGCAAGGCCAGCCGCCCTCGCCTGCGGGGCTCCAGGCCTCGAGGAGGCCCCAGGAAGTTCCGAAAGGCAGAAACAGAGCTGCCGGGGATCCCTCAGGCCCTGTGCTACTTGTCTGCAGTTGATCACCTGGAGGTTGGAGATAAGGGGCAAGAGGGCAGAGGGCAGATGCCTGAGGGGACTCTGTTTCCCAGAGGAGATGCCTTCTCAAGGCCTCCAGCCCTGGAATCTAAAAGGGCTTCCCTGGGGTCCCAGTGGCAGCCTGGACCAGGACTAGGAAGTCACCGTGCTCAGCCCGTGGATTTCCGGGCTCCGTGCTGGGCAGCCTTTGCCACGACCTCTTGCATGAAGTTGGGATCCTCAGGGCCAGGCAGACAAGCCCAGGGTAGAGAAAGCCACCTGTCTCTGGAAACTGTCTGCACTTCCTCCCAACAGACCCAGGCAGAGGTCTGTCAGGCCCAGCAGCCAACCGCTTCCCTCACCCCTGACGACTGGGTGCCAGCCTCACCCTCTTTGAGGAAAACCACTTCACCCGTGTCTCATGGGAAGGCAGCCCTGGCCGGACCCTGCAGGCTGGGTGACCAGGGAGAGCTTGTGGACACTCCCGTGCCTCCTTCAAGAAGTGTGGTTCTTGGGACCTGTGAACTCGACTCCCTGCAGGCCCAGCCCAGCAGCCCCCTGGTCAGGCACCCACTGCTGGCCTTGTCCACCACCAACTGCAACAACAGTGGGCCCTCTGCGCTGCAGGAGCCCTGGGGAGGAGCCACGCCTGGGGGCAGGGTGGAGAAGGGCCCCTGCAGCCAGGAGCCGGAGCTGCCCCTAGAGAACCGCAGAGATGGTAAGGGCTGCTCCCAGTCCCCGGCAATCCTTGAGCAGAGCCCCCAGGCCAGTATGTGGCCCACCACTCTCTCGGGCTGCACTTACTCGCATTAGCAGATAGCTAGCCCCGCACTCTCCAGCAACCTCTTGGAGCCCTTTAGAGCACGGGTGTTTTGGGAAGCTGTGGGGTCTCTGGCTGGGTGCAGGATTCAACATCAGCCTAGAGGCAGGTTAGCCAGCTCGCACTGGAGAGGCAGAATGTGGGGAGGCAGTGGTGATGCGCGCTGACTGCAGGGACCCGAGGTGTGTACAGGAGCTCCGAGCTCCGTGGCTACTGCAGGCCTGGGCGTGAAGGGCATTTTACTACCAGCAGAGCAGGAGGAGGGTTTGCTCTTTGCTCGGAGTGGTTCATGCCTAGTAATCACATGGCTGAGGACCTTTCCCCTCAACATCTTCATTTCATGCATTCATTCATTCAGTATCTATTGAGCATCTGTTACATGGCAGGCACCACACTAAGCAGTATGGGTAATGTGTGAGTAAATTAATTCAGTAGGAGTCCTGCCCTTGAGACCTTCATGGCCAGCAGACATGCTGTCTGGAGGGCACGGTGAGCAACGGGCAGGGCCCTCCCAGACCTCCCACACCACTGGGTCATCTGGGGGTTTCAGCAGGCAGGACTGCAGCAGGATAGAGGGTATCACCTCTGCCCTTGGAAGGGGTCCTCATGCTGTGCACAAATCTTGGGCATCAGCAGCCTTAAGGCCTGGTCCACACGTGTGATCTAGGGTGAGAAACTCAGCTGCTCACTCTGAGGCAGAGATGACAGGCCTGCCCCACATAGCCTTGCCTTAATGTGTCTGTGGCCATGGCAGCTCTGGGGCTGGGATGGCTCGGGAGGGGTCCAGGGCTTGGAAACTCCACAGAGGACAGGGCAGAGAAATGGCAGGCCATCTGACCCAGCTGAGGACGTGGATGCCATACCCTCTCCACTGCATGTGTGACACAGGTACTTTCCCCCATGCGCCCTTGCTCCCTTGCTGGCTTTAACCTTGAGGGTGCAGGCCCTAAATCCCTCGTGGGTGTGTTTTCCTCCCATGGGTTGGCCCAAGGCTGCCTGCCAGCTGCCCCAGCCACTTCCTGCAGGGCTTCTCTTGTGAAAGGTGCTTTCTGGACATCCCGGCCTTCACCTTCTCAGGGCCTGGAGCAGAGGCCAGGCGGGACTCCTCTCACCAGCCTGGAGGTCCTGGGCACATGCCCAGATAACCCCCCTGTGCTCCAGGCTCCTTCTCTGTAACCTGAGGCTAGTATTGGAACCTGTTTCCTAAGAACCCATAAAATAATCTCTGTAGAAGGTTTACCTCATTGCCTAGCACATTACAGAAGCTCCCAAAAGAGTGGATGCCATTAAAGCTGTTAGCCATCACAGCCGACAAGATTGTGGCTCTTGTCCCAGGAATAAAAAACTACCCCCTGCTCTGAACTGCATCTCTTGATATAGGAGGGACGTGATTATCACAAGCAGCCCCTTCATTTCACAGACACTTACTAATCATCTGCTGTGTACCAGGCGCTGTGCTGGGAGGTGATGGGGCTACAGCAGGAAACAATCCCTGCTGGGCAGGTGTCTCCCCACCACCTCCATGGCTCTCCTGCGGCCCCCACCTCCCGCTCCCTCTGGGGCCCCCGCCTCTGTCTTTGGGAATGCCCCTCCCCTCGCTGTGACCTATAGGGAGGAGTCCCTGACACACGAGGGCTGTGGTTGTTGCAGGAGGACTCCGGAGCTTTCTGGGCTCAGCAGCTGTTGGCACCACCAACCCCATGAGCATTACCCTCTCCCTGACCTCAGAGGAGCCAGAGTCCGGCCAGGAACCAGAGGGAGGCCTGCAGAGGACAGAATTGAGTTCTGGAGGGCATGTGTCATCCCGGTGAGTGACAGAAGCAAGAGCCCTGACTATAGGAGCCAGGGGACCAGGGTGCTGGGTGGAGAGAGCCCCCTAGAGGGACTAAGCCCACTTCTCCCATGTCCTGGGCATGCTCCTAACTGAGGTCTAAGCATTGCACCCCTACGGCCCCTTCCCAACCATTTTTGGTCTAATGTACTTAATTATTCCTTCACTGATCATTCATTGAAGGCCTCAAGCTCCAGGTGCTGTGCTTGGCCAGCTGATGTGACAGTCCCCATACTCGGTGCTCCCAGGATGGGGCCCCCTGACTGTGAGCACTTACTCCTGACTCTAGGCATGGAAACAACCAGATGCTGAGAAACCAGCCGGCATTCACATTTCCATTCTGTTCTTCAGCCCTGAGGGTCTGAGTCCTCATCCTGGACCCTAAGGCCTTCGTGAGCCAGTATGCTGGCCAGGGCCTCTCCACTGCACACGGTTCCTGGTGACATGCAGCCCACGGCTTCACATGCCACCGAGAGACGAATGTGCATCTCCAGCACGGTGTGCTCCCCAGAACTCCCACTCACACATCCAGTTTCCCCGACATCTCCACTCAGGTTCCTGGGAGGCCAAGCTGGACTCTCCATCATTCAAAACAAAAACCGCTTCCCCCAGGTCCTGCAAGCACGCCATCGCCCCCATGGTCTCAAGCCCCAGCTCGGGGCGTTTCCTTGGCTGCTTCCTCCTCTCCTGCTCCTGGCTCCCAGCCCCTGCCTGCTCTCAGTCTTCACTCTTGCCTCTACAGTTTCTTGCCTACATGTAAGTCAAAGTTTTCTTTTTAAAACCTTTAGTAAGTGATGTCATTTCTCCTGCTTAAAACCCTGAGTGGTTTTTCACCCCACTTGGAATGGAAGCCAAAGCCTTGTCCGGTGCTCAGTCTACCTGTCCAGTTTCATCTGGCACCACTTTCTCCCTTGCTCACTGCATCCAACTCCGAATGGCCAGTGTTCTTGAACACACAGCCTCTTCCTGCCCTAGAGCCATGGCACCAGCTTTTCCTTCCACCTGGAATTCTTACTCCAGGCTGGACAGGACTGGCCCCTTGCTGTTCAGCGCTCAGCTTGAATGTTGTCGTCTCAGAGAGACCTTCCCTGGCCATGCTGTCACTCGGTCTCACCTTGCTCCTCAGGCACTCGTGGGTTTTCTCCTCTGTTTACTGTCTGTGTTCATAAGCTCCTGAGAATGAGGACCTTGTCTGTCTTGTTTACTGCATGCCCCAGGGTCTATAAGAGGTGAATGAATGAATGAACGAATGATTGGGTGAACCCATCAGTGAGTGTAACGCCAAGGGTCTTCTCCAAGCTGCTCTCGCTAAAAGCTCCCCAAGCAGAGTACCTGCAGAAGCCCACTCGGCCTTTCTTCCAGAGCTTGGCTGCCACTTCCTCCATGTGGCATTGGTGCTGGCCCATCTGGGACCCATAGGACCCAAAAGTGTGATCTGCCCCAGCCTCTCCTGCCCACCTCACGTCCACCCTTGTATTTCAGAGCCTCACCAGGGGTCAGTGCAGGAGCTGGCGCACCCTCAGCTGTCCCTTCCAGCAGGAACAAGAAAAGCAGCAGCCTCACCTCCACCCTGGGGCTGAAAAAGCTCTTCTTGGCCCTGGGCCAGGGCACGAGGCCCAGGTTGGGCAAGACCTATAGCTACAGTGTGGAGCATCTGCAGCCCCCTGCACCTGGCCTGGCTTCTCACACCAGCACCCCCAAAGTGAAGAGAGCCCCGTCATTACAATTCCTGCATCTGGTGAGTCCCAGTGGCCCAGCCAAGGGGTGAGTGAGGCCAGAGGTGATGTAGCCACCGTGGGAAGGAGGGGAAAGGGTCGATGAAGTGCTGAGGCTGCTGCCCCAGGAGCCCTGAGTGGAGAAAGGGTGTCTGCCGCACAGTGATCCCTGGGACTTGGGTTCCCCTGGACACAGGGGGCCCCGCCGGCTGCCCAGCCTGGGCTCAGCCTAGACCCCTTCCTCTCCCTCAAGTCTGCCACCCCTGCCAAGTCCTGGAGTCTACTGCCTGGTCATTCTGGAAACTTCTCCTTGGCCACAGCAATTCTGTTAGGCTGGCACCAGTGACTTCACACCTGGGTTGCCTCAGTGGCCTCCTGGCACGGTTTTCCCCACATGGTCCCTCTGATATGCAAATCTAGCTGTGCTGCCCCCTCGCTGAGCATTGCCATTGGTCCCTCAGGGATCACCCTTAGGATAAAGTTCCCGTCACCTGATATTGCCAGAGGGTTCCTGTGATCTGACTGCTTTCACCTCTCACCACTCTCCTAACACGCAGCCCCCGTTTTCCTTGTCTTTGCAGTTAATCAAGCCCCATACTGTCTGACTTTAAACCTTCACTTGAAACATCCCTCTCACCTTCTGTACCTGCTAATGTCTGTGCATCCGTCCACACCTCAGGAGTTGCCTTGGCAGGAAGCCGCTTCCAACCCTTTCTTGGGCCAGACTGGGGGCCTCTGCTCTGTGTTCCCATCGCATCCTGTGCTTCTCTCCTTCATGGAGTTTGTCACAGTATTTTAACTGATTTTTGTCTGTCTCCCCTCACTGGACTCTGAATTTTTTGAGGGAATATCACTTGATCTTTATATTCCTGATACAGGTTTCCCGACTGTCCAAAAGTAGAATGTTCCTACGAAACCTTTTGTGGACTGGATTGGCATAAAGCAAAGAGGCAGTTACCATTAATTTATATGGAAAAATTTTTGAGCCTTCCCAGACCCAAAAAATAACCTCTCTTAGGCTTTTGATACCTTAGGACACATCTTGCTAACAGATGCACAAAATGAGTTGAGATAAAGCAAAAATGCTCACAGATAGTGCCAAGCTATGGCAGCTTGATGCCAAGTATGGGCCCGGGGATGGCCTGGCTGGGCCACTCTCCCTGCCGGAGTACACGCTGCCTCTGTACAGGCTCGCTGCAAAACGAATGCTGAAAGCTGTTTTTGTTTTTTGCCTTCTTCGTAAATGTGAAAATCCTCTTCAGATGTCTTTTGGTTAGTGAAAATAGGTACTGATGTAGGTCTTCCCAAAAGTGAAGTGGCATAGTGCTAATTTTCAGAAAGTGGGGGATACCTCTACTTAGAACAATGGCTAGGATGGTACACATACTCAGTACATAGTGAGTGAGTGAGTGAGTGAGTGAGCAGGGCAGCTGGCTCAGGTGCCCCTTCCCCGTGTGCTCAAGAGGATAAACCAGCAGCAGTGCACTAATTCTCAACTGGGTTTCTGAAAGCCCTGTTCTGGTCCAGGGATTTCCAGGTATTATGTTTGTTTTTCTGTTCCTACCCCACCCCCACCTCCATTGGGGCAGACGAAGCAGGTGACTGATTTGTGGTAATAGAGTTTTTCATTTTTCAGGCTGAAGTAGGGAAGGGAATGCAGGCTGAATGAAAATTCCAGTGCACCGGGGACGTGCACCTGGTACGCGGTCAGTGCTCAATAAACACCTGCCAAATGAATAAGCAGAAGCAAAGAGATCGTAAGCTGGAGAGAAAAGCCTAGAGTGACATTGTGCTCCAGAAATTCACTTTTCTCCTGAGGTTAGGTTTGTTCCGTGTGTGTGTGAGCCATGGCGCCTGGGTGTATTGCCATCAGAGCTTTGATCTCTGTAAACCCTGGAGGGAAATGACAATACCTTTAGTGTAATAGAGGAATTATCAGCAATATAAGCTAAATGGGAAAGATAGAAAGCACATGGCCAAGGAAAGGTGGGAGCAAGTACAGGGAGGACTAAACAAAAGAAATAAATGTTCAACAACTGAGAAAAGAAGATAAAGAAACTGTCTTACCCAGAAGGACTCATGATATACCTCAGTGAACTACTTCCTCTGGGCTGGTGTGCAGCCAGGTGTGCGGTGAGAGCGTGGGCAGGGGCTGCCCGGGTGTGGGTCTCCTGTGCCCTCCCAGTGGGCAGTGGTTCTCACACCTGGCCCTGCTGGCTATTCCCACATCCTCCGGTGGCTGTGGCTCTTTAACCTTTGAACCTGCATCTGGGAGGCTCTCCTCCCTTCTCCCTGCTCCCCTCTCCCCAGGAAACTCCTGCTTGTCTTTCAGGTCTGAGTTAAACATGACTTCTCCCAGGAAGCCTTCCTGAACTCTAATAAAAGGTCAGGGTCCCCTCTTAATCTTCTTGATAATATCTTTCACTTCCTTAGAGCATAGATCCCAAATGTGATGAGTAATACATCTAATATTTGTCTAAAAGTCTGCATCTTTCTGCTTCCATCTCCACCCACCCCCAACCAGAGTAGGCTCCTCTTTGAGTCAGTTTCTACAACATAGATCTGATCTTGTAACTTCTGATTAATAGCCCTCAGCAGCTCCTTACCAGACCATGTGAGGTTTTTCCAGGTCTGGCCCCTGGCTCTACCCTGTCTTTCCTCACCACTGCAGCCTAGCCACCCAGACCGTGTGTGTGTTCCAGAACACACCATGCTTCCTCTCATCTCTCCGTGTCTTTGCATATGCTGTTTCTTCTGCCTGAAGCGCCCTTACCTCTGTCTTCACCTGGAGAGTTCATGCTCCAAGCCTTGCTCAGGTGTCAGTTCTAGTGACACCAAACCTTAGGCTAAAGTCTCTATGCTCACTGCCACCCCCTATCACTGGGTGAACTCCTTGGATTTTTGACTTGTCCATCCTTTTAAGCACAGTGTTTTAAAGTACATACTTACGTAAAAATCTTTGAGCATAAGTGGTCATGAAAGGGGTACTAAAGAATCACAGAATATTTAAGATTTTAACTCTAAAATTGTGTTTATTTTCTAATTAGTCTGTGTTCAGTTTTTTCTTAATTATGAGAAAATTTGTTTTCTTAATGAGATCATTCATATTCTAGTGCTAAGTTGTTATTTCAGCCAAACTTTTTTAACTGAAGTTTCAGATCACCTATAGAGGCCCATCTACTTGAGTAAATTATGATTCTTGTTGAGCTTTTTGAAGTAATGACAAAAGCTTGTACCCTTACTTTCTTAGAGGAAACTCAGGTTGACGGCTGGAGTCAGGTTTCTATCAACCTCTTGCCAGGTGGCGTTTCTCACCTGCAATACTGGACCTTTCCCACCAGGGGTCACCCTCCAGCCAACATCGGAAAGCTGCCTCCTTTCAGAACCTCCATTCTCTGCTGAGCGGCAAGGTGGACCCGTCCAGCCGCTACCTGGTAGGGGAGCCAGGAGAGCACAGTGCAGCTGGCCGGTAAGAGGGGACAAGTGGCTTGGAAGACGAACTCAGAGCATGGACAGTGGGGCTGTAGCTTCACTCCTTTCCGCCTCAGGGGCCACGAAGTGTTGGAACCCCGACCTCAGTGCCCTTACCCTATACACCTGAGCTCCAAGAAGATCTGGGGTTGGTGGAAGGGGTAGTGGGAAGATTTGATGCCTGCTTCCCACTACTATCTAATGACATCTTAAAATCAGAAAGTTCAGAGAGCTTCCTTAGCCCAGTTAAAAATCTGATTAAAGTTCCAGAGACAGGGCCCCCAGAGAGGCCCTTGGCCTGTGACCCTGCTGGAGAAATCCAGTGCTCTCTGATGAGACCCTGTAGGTTAGCTGCTCTTACCTGGGGCTCCATCGAGGGACATCAGGGAGTTTGTTAGTGCCTGGAAATTTTATATGAAATTATCCTTTTCATCAGATTTCTCAGAGAGGTCTCTACAGTCCCCCAAATTAAAAACCACTACTCTTGGGAGGGAAGGGGGCTTTTAGTTCTAGCAAGCTCTGAGAAGCCTCAGACAGCTGCGGGAACCTGCCAGTCTTAGCCCTATCAGGCTTTTTTTCCTTGCTGAGGTCAGTGGAGCCCCAGCCTCCACCACCAGTCCAGAGGCCTCAGTCATCTTTCAGCCAGGGAGAGGCTGGGCCCCAGTGCTGGCCCCCTGTGCCCTCACTCTGCCTCTGGTCCCCTCCCAGGCCATCCAGGGCCCCGCCCCGGCGTGCCCTCAGCGTGGAGGACGTGAGCGCCCCCAGCCTGGCTCGCACCGTGGGACGCGTGGTGGAGGTGTTCCCTGATGGCACAAGCCAGCTGCTGCTGCAGCGCTCCCCCAACGGCACTTTTGGCTTCTGTGTGGCCTCTGGGGCCGGACGCCGGGACTCAGGTATGCTTCCTCCCCTTGCTGGGCTCCACAGCCCTGGGGCCTCAGTAGTCCCAGCAGTGCCCTTGGCTGTCATTTCTGGTCTTTGGCTGAGCAGGGGAGCTCAGGTCTCAGGGAGCATTTGAGCAAAAGGGCTGGGATTCTCCCCTTAGGGTCTCTTCAGGAAGTCAGGTGTGGGGCTGCTGGAGCAGACACAAATGACAGGCGTGACCCACTGTCCCCCTGCTGTCTGCTGATATCTCGAACTTAGAATCTTGAAGGCTGTCTTTTCTTTGGTGAGCTAAAAGGAGAGTGATTGTGATTGCTGGTTCTCAGCCATCCCTTTGATGTGGCTGATGTGTTTAAGGGGATCCCTTCCTCCGGCGCCAAGTATATCTGGGCACGTAGAATGCGCCTGCCTGTCTGTATGTCCAGCTCCCTCTTCCAGGGCTGGCTCTTGAGGGTTGTATTCCTAGAGCTCCCAGCTCCAGCCCCTGGCTGGTTGCCCTCTAGATCTAGCTTCAACCCTGGCAGGGTCAGGGAGGGGCTCTGGGCACCCTTCTGCACTCTGCCAGTTCTCGGCCCTGCCCTGGGAGTCTTTCAGGGCAGAATTACTTGCTCAGGCCTTTATCAAGGTCTGTGGGCCAGAATCCATCTCAGAGAGAGGGAGGGACCTTGAAAGTGATTTCCCAGATAAGATGAGTAGAGAAGGAAGACAGGTATGCCAGGGGTGAGAAGGCAGGGAGGAGAGGAGAGAAGGGAGAGAGGCATGGAGAGATGCGCTTGGGAGGCAGCCCTGGCGGGGCTCTGTCAAGAAAACTTTGGTCCTGTGCTTTGAGCTCCTAAGGCAAAGTTATTTAACCTAGAAAACAACCTGCCTGCTGCCAGCTTTGCAGATGACAGCCAGTTCCTGTATCTGTTCCGTGATTCGTTATTTCAGCAGTCATGTGAGCGCCTGCTGGGTGTTGCAGATACTGGGCATACAGCAGTAAATGGAACAGACAAAATACCTGCGCCCAGGAGTGCACTGCCAGTGCGGGAGATAGCCTCCTATATACAAATGTATGTTTTTACATATTACCCATTAAATGTGTTAGATATTGAAGAGACTAAGGAACAAACACAAACAAGGCAGGGTGAGAGCCCAAGAGTGGGGAGTAGGCCTGCAGGCAGCTTTTCTGGGGAGATGCCATTGGAGCAGACCCTGGGTGTTGGGGAGTGTGCAGTGTCTGGGGAAGGGCAGTCCAGGCAGAACGAAGAGCAGTGCAAAGGGGTCGGGGTGAGCTTGGCCTAACGGGGGAACTGCCAGGAGGCCTGTCTGGATAGAGCAGCGAGGGGAGAGAAGGCTGAGCTCAGTGGCTTGGGCTTCCACACCAGGTGGGTGGAAGGCAGCGGGGCCATGGAGCAGGGACTGACCCACTCTGGTTCACACCGTGGGCAGGGTCACTGACCGGCGGCTGTGTTGAGAACAGACACTAGTGGTATGAGGATGGAACCAGGGAGACCGGTTTGAAAGCTATGTCAGTAATCCAGGGAAGACCTGGTGGTGAGGGAGATGGAGAGAAGGGCTGGATCTGGTTGATTGCAGGTAGTTCTGACGCAGTTTACATGAGTGTGAGAGGAAGACAGGACAGGCTTCTCCCACTGTGGACATCAGAAGCACAGTGTCTGTCCTCACACGGAGATGGCATTTGTGAGTGTGTAGAAAGCACACTCACATTATATGTGTTAGATATTGAAGAGACTAAGGAACAAACACAAACAAGGCAGGGTGAGAGCCCAAGAGTGGCGAGTAGGCTGTCTGCCTCTCTGCTTATTCCTTTAACTTCCTCTCTCCTTAGCTGAGGGGTAACAGGGCCATCCCGGAGAGGCACTGGGAAGGCACAGAGCCGTGACAACTGCATGGTTATACTGCAGTGCCTCTGTTGGCTGTGTGATGTTCAGCAGGTCACTTACCTTTTCTGAGCCTCTGTTCCATGGTCTGTAAAATGAAGATGATAAAACCTACCCAAGAAGAGTCATAGGAACATTCAGGGAAGCACATAGGAAAGTGCCCAGCACTTTGCTTCCCTCCCCTCTTCAGAAAGAGAATGTGTATTTGGGGAGAACTCCAGGCAGGAACTGGCATACGCTTATCATCTGCCAATGTGAGATCATATACAACAGGGAGACAGGGAGCTGTACTGTGCCCTCCATCCTCCCTGGAAGTCCCTTTGGCCCCTTTGCAGGCAGTTGGAGCCCCTCCCCTGTCACCTGCCATGGAGATCTCATCGGCAGGGTATCTAATGACCAAGGGCTCCTTGGGCTCTGGCCTGGCCTGCTCCCCCAGGTGCCCTCTCTGGGGTGGTGCGGGCTCTTCCCTGTCCTGCCCAGGTGGCGCTCTGCTCCTGCCCCCCAGTTGGCCGTTGGATGTCATGCAGATCCCCTTTCCTCAGGCCATCCTTCAACAAGCGGAGGGTCACTTCTCCTGGGTCTCAGAGGGGCCGTGAGCTGAGGCTGGTTTGCATTCCTCACTAAAACATCGAGATGCTGGTGTTCAGTTGCTGGCTGTCACATCTGATTCTGTGAAGCATGTGAGAACCGCAGGCTTTGCCTTCTGCTACTAACTCCATACAACGTAGAGATCATGCAGCCTTAACAAAGGCATTTCCAGCAGACAATAAATGCCTACATGAGCAGTTTCTGTCGTATTTCTGTCATGACTTTTAGTTGTGAAACCCACCCCGAGTCTCCCCATGTCTGGCATGACATCAGCGTCTGTCTAGCTCTGGCTGCATTCTTTAGGGTTTCTCACTGCTCTCCACCTGCACAGCCCGTCCACAATAGCAGCTGACTCTGCAGGCTCTGCCCCTCGCGTCCTCACCCGCCTCCCCAACATGCGGACAGGGTGGGCAGACAGTTAAAACACCCAGATACAAAAGGCAAAAGGCAGGAGCTGAGAGAACAGCCCTGTGCCACCAAGATGGAGGACTTGCCATATTATGAGGGAGACAGCCTTGCAGGAGAGCTCAGCCTGGCCAAGGAGCACTGGAAGGGAGCCAGGGAGGGGGGAAGTGTCCAAAGATCAGATTTGCTAAACCCAGAACTACAAACCTTCAGGTGCTTTGGGGAGCTTTCAATGCACTTGCAAATCAAAATTTCACTCAAATTTACTAAACCCAGAGCTACAAACCTTCAGGTGCTTTTGGGAGCTTTCAATGCACTTGCAAATCAAAATTTCACTTTTCTGTTAGGGCCAGAAGCTGGGCTGAACAAAAGCTTCTATGGGGCTGGGTGGGCTGGAGAGATGATGGCCGACTAGTCAGAGCCAGCGAGCCTGAGCTGGGGAGCAATGAGGGGCCCCAGGCAGTACTTAGCTCTGGGTGAGCTCTGCAGGTGTCCAGAGCTGCATGTCCATCTGTATGCTGCACTCCTCCAGGGAGCTGGCCATGGGCTCTCAGATCCCTCTGTTCATGAGCAGCTGGGGGATAGGCCGGGGGGCCAGCTTTCCCTGCAAGAGCCTGAGCCTCCTTTAATCTCAGGTGGAAGCAGCTGAAGGGGAGTTTGAAACAATTTAGCTGAAGTTGAGGCTAGAGGGACTCCCTCAGCTGGTCTCCACTGTGTCACCAGGAGAGCCCAGGGGAACTCGGCCTCACCAGACCGAGGCCCCCCAGAGCCTGCCCCACTGATGGGTGCCCCGAGCTGGACGGGGGCAAAGAGGAGAAGCAGGTTGTCTCCAGACTCACACTGTCCCTTAGAGACCTGGGAATGGTCATACTGGCCAGGCAGGGCCTCAGGGGTCAGTGGTGGGGAGATGCTGGGTGAAGAAAGGAAAGTGAGCCACCATGGCTTTCAATAGGGCAGAAGAATTTTTATGTTTTCTGGGCTCTTGCCCAGATGCCTCCAAATCCCAAGTGTGGAAGACATATCAGAGGAAAACTGAGGCCAGGACTAGTCTTAGACAATAATATGAAGCAAACCAGGTTTGCATTTGAGCTCAGCCACATTCGGTACCCCAGTGATACCCTCCCACCACGCCAGCTACTTGGGGGCAGCAACTGGGCCTCGTTAGTGAATCCCACTTAGCACAGTGTCAGGCATGCACTAGGTCTCTTTTACTTTTGTAAACATTATTTTCTTCCCTATTCTACAATCAAAGCTTATCTCAGAAAAAGATCAGCTCATTCACACTAGGGTAGACATGAATAATAATACAGCTTAAAGCATTATTTTTGCACTAGGGAGATTTTAAAAGAGGAGCTCGAGAAATGAAGTTACACCATGGGGGTGGTTGTAAGGCCAGCTGTAATTGTGAGGTGGAATAATGAGTGAGTGAGTGAATGAGTGAGTGAGTGAGTGAGTGAGTGAGTGTGTGTGTGTGTGGGTGAGTGAGTGAGTGAGTGAGTGTGTGTGTGTGTGTGTGTGTGTGTGTAGAAGGGCCCTGTCTGAGCACCTGCCCCCACCATTACTTGGTCAGCATTCCACAGAGATGCAGGTCTTCAATCTGGATTTTATGTTGAATTCTCCTGTTTTCCATCGCAGGGTTCTACGTGCAAGAGATGGCTGATGCGAGCACGGTGAAGCTGTACTCCGGGCTGCTGGGGGTGGGAGATGAGATCCTGGAAGTGAACGGGGCCAAGGTTGCAGGGCTGGGCTTGGCTCACATCAGGGAGCTCCTGGCCCACTCGGCGACTTTGTCAGTTCGTGTGCTGAGGCAGAGGCCTGTCCCACGGTGAGCAGGCTGCCCTTGCCCTCACTCTCATCCCCTCGGAAGCCCTGAACTGCCCCCGGGGAGCGGCTGGGAACGCCCCGCACAAAGCTGCTCCGTGAGCTGGACGCGGCCATGGTGGCATGCAACTCTGCGGCTGCAGCAGGGCTTCCATGGTGGGACCACCCCAGGGAGATGGAAGGATCCTGTTTATGTATTTTATTTAAGGATATTAATTTATGTGGCACTGGGGAAAGGAAATAATGAATGTCCGTCTGTGCCCAAAGTGGTGTCAACATCTTCCCGCACCTTCACTGGCAGGGGGAGGAGAGGTTCAGCGGCCCGTCAGTTGATCGCTGAGCACTCCCTCGTCCCCAGGTGCCACCCCACTCTCTGTCACAGGCTCCCGCAGCCTCCCACACAGCAGAACCCAAGGGAGTGCCTGGCCATGCTGGCCTTGAGCCAGTCTCACTTCTCTCATTCCTCCCATTTGACGTCTTTGCTCTTTTTCCAGAAATAGGCAAAGTGTCCTGGAGTAACAGCCTTATGGCCACTGACCATATATTCCAAACCAAAAAGGAGAACATGTGGTTTGGTGTGAGAACATCTGCGAGATTGTTACCTGCTAGCCAGAATATTAAGAATTTCTGGGAAATTTTTATGATATATATATAAGGTTGAAGGAAAAAAAAAAAGAAGCTGAGATCAGGGAAGTGCAGCCACGGCCAGTGGGACTGGCCAGCCCAGCCCCATCCACACCGCCCCTGCCCTCTGCTCCTGCCCAGAGCCAAGGCCGGAGCTGCACAGCCTGGCCATGAGGGCCTCCGACTTCCTTCTGTTGAGTTGGACACAGGGCTGCAGCGGCAGCCAGGCGGTCGCCAGCCATGGCCTCTCTGCCCTGGCTCCCTGGTGGCTGCTGTGGGTGGTTCAGCCACCAGGGACCTGGCAGGGCCCAGGCAGGGAGATGGGCTGCCCCACTCTGGTGCTTCCTGCCCTAGGCCTGAACAGTGGCCCAAAGGGTTGGGGCTCTCTGGGAATGGACATCTAGGAGTCCACCTTAAATTATTAAAAAGCAGATCGGAAGCTTCTCCTACTCTGAGTTGCTAAATTCTGGGCTGGATGCTCCCTTGACCTTTAAGCTGAGGGGAAGGGAGAGGATGCAGGCATAGCAGTGGGCTGTGTCCCACATGCCAGAGGGGAAAGTTGGGGTGGCCTGGGGCTGGGGTGACAACTAGGGCAGATGTAGGAGCCTCCAGAAACAGTCCTTTGGCTGTTAGAGTAGCCCCGGGCAAGAGGCCTTTAGGAATAGGAGACAGTGGAGTGAAGAGCATTGGTTAGGTGCAGTGGCAGGGGAGTGGGTGGCTCAGGCAGTTTTAGGATTTGGCTGGGTGCCCCCTGTGCCAAAAAACACACAGCCTTCAGCAGAATCTGGTTAAAGTGTCACAGCAGCTTTCTGTCTCCAGGTCACTGAAAGAGACATGTGGCTTGAGGGAGAGTCTATGGGGGTGGGGGGCAAGCTATCCTGTGCACGGCCTGGTGACGGCACCTTGCTGAACGAGCTGGAGCTGGGGGACCTGCGCACGCAGAAGGGGTGCAGGCCTGGGCGGTCATCAGGCACCGTCTCACACATGATGAGGGAACCGCAGGCATGGCTTGAATTTTGGAAGTCAAGGTTAAGCAAGGAATTGAGGGTGTGCGGTCTGTGCCTTCTCCCAGCCTGCTCTGCCTGCTTCTCAAATATTCCAGAGCTCTGTTGAGGACGTAAGGACACAATCCTGAATCCTTACGGCAACTCTGCGGGGGAGGGATACCTGGGTTACAAACCAGGGGTCTGTGACTCAGAGGTTAAACTTCTTATCCAAGGTTACACAGCAAGTAGTGGAGGCAGGATTTGAACCCAGCTCTCTGCACCCCCCAGGTCTCATCCATCCACCCCCTGGTGCCCTGGGGGACACACTTCATTTGGAGGCCCAGGAACAACTGCTCTGGGGGCACCGGCTGTGGGGTGGGGTGGCCAGTGGACGACTTGGGCAGGTGCAAGGGTCTTTGCTCCAGTTTTTCTTTGGGAAAATGGGGCTGGCACTCCGGAAAAGGGAGGGGCGGGCAGATCACTTTTGAGAACCGCAGGCATAACCCACTCGTGGGTCACAAAATCTATCTTATAGGTCACTTCCAATATTTAATGAAAAAGTATCAGTGCCTCGCACAAGGCAAGGGTAGGTTTTGTTTGCTTACACATGCTAGTCCTGCATTATGGTTTAAAATGCTACTGTGGCCTTGCTCTGGAGGGGGGCAAAGACTGCACGCTTGGCTCAGGCCAGGCAGGCAGGCAGGCAGAGGAAACCACCCCGGCCTCGAGGCTGGCCTGAGTGTGCCTGGCCTCCGAGGGAAAAGAGGCATCCCTGATCCTACATCCCTCTCCCCAAGGGAAGGCCCGTGTCCCAGGGGGCGGACTGCAATGGCATGACTGGACTTCCTGGTCCTCCAAACTGGCCTCGGGACAGGGAGGTATTGATGGGCAGCTTTGTTGCTGGTTCTCTGATTGGGTGACACCCCAACTCCACGCAATCACTCACAAAGCTAATTCCTGTGCCTTTGCTGGAAACCCTCCCCCTCATCCACCCACGGACCCTTGGCAGCCTTGGACATAGTGGCGGGAAGTGCTCCATGACACCTGCATGCCGACTCTAGCTGCCTCCCCTTAGTTACCATAGAATCTGGTACCAAGGCTCTTCACTGTGACTCTTTGCACAAACAACTGCTTGTTTATCTTCCACAAACTTACCTGTCAACAACTGGACTTCCCTGGACCTCTGCCCAACCCATTGCCCACCCCAAATCTTCAGGCTGATTCTGGAGCTAATTCAAAATCCCTGCCTTCCCCGGCTGCCCTGCCCTCCTTCCCATCCTATGTGAAGTTTCCCTCTTTCCTACAGAGCCAGAGCACCTGTTGAGAAACGGCAGCAGTCTTGCTTGGCAGGCAGCTCTGTCCAGCTTTCTCAGGCTGTGGGTTTGGCCAGGTCGGAGTGCTGGGCCCCGAGGAAGGGCTGCTGGCATTGGCTTGGATACACTTCCCATGGAGCCAGCCCTTAACAGCTGCCCGGCCTGGAGGGTATCAGCTCCCCCGTGGATACCAGGCTGCCTGCTGGGCCTGCTTTTGTCTTGTCCTTCCAGTCTGGGCTCAGGCCCCATTCACAGTGTGGAGCTGCCCTTAGGGGGCTGGCCAGGGGCCAGGCACTCGGGAGAGTCCCACCCTTCCTTTAGGATGCCACATCCCCGGGGTGGACACTACAGCTGTGAAAAGAGACAAACTGTTGTGCCAAGGGCTACAGTGGAAGTCCCCGGCAGGAGGCCCCACTTCACCTGGGGAGCAGAAAGGCTTCCCAGAAAGCCCACCAGCCTCCATGCGGCTCTGGTGTCATCTCAGGAACCAGGAATGTTGGCAGCTGTGGGCACTCACAGCAGCGTTCGGATGCCACAACTAAGATTCTCATCCTGGTCTCAAACTGCGTCTCCAGGCTTTCCTGAGTTTATAAGAACTTCATCTCACTTACATTTGCACATTTCCAGCCAAACACACAAAAGCTCCAGAACCTTTTATCAGCAAGGTTCACTTGCCTTCCCTTCGGCTTTACCATTTCTCTGGGTAGAGACAGGGCTTAGTGGAACACCTGCTTGCCGCCACTGCAGTCTGAATGGCATCTTTCTTTTAAGGTAGGCCACGTACTGATCCAGTCAGACCTGTGTTCTCATGTGACTTGGCCACTTCTTAGTTGTATCCTTGGGCAAATTTAATTGCCCCACACCTGTTTTCAAGCATAAACTAGGCCTCACCAGTTGTCCCTCATGGGGTTGTGAGAATTAAATGAAACTGGGGTTTGTTCCTGATGCTGAGGTCATCACCTGCTGGCGTATCAGATTTGCATCAATGTTGGCCAGAAGTGTTAGCTACAGATGAGACAGAAAATTTGAGAAATTTGCTCCAACACTCAGCGAGGGGGGAAAGGCTGAATTTCTCTTCTGTTCTAGCCTCTGCTCTTCCATCCTCCTGTCCCACCTGAAACCCTGAGCTACAGAATATTTTGAATACACAGTGCAGTTATTTTGGGGTTTAAGAATTCACAGCGCTTGCTCAGAAAGCACAATTTCTAATACAGGCCTTTTTCCCCCGACCCTGGGCACCCAAGTACATCCACTCTCATTCGTGCGGGTGGAGGAGGGGAGAAAGCTGTGTTTAGGCATGAAAAGAACTAAAAACATAAACAAAACCAGCCAACCCAACCAAACAAAACACCACGCGGGGCAAAGCTCATGGTCTCTGTTTTTCTTTAATACTGAGCAATGTTCTTTATACAGCTGTAACATGATTCCAAGAGCAGAAGTAAGAAACATTACTGACAGACTTCAGGGTGTAAAAATAACACTTTGAAGGATAGCTAGTTGAGATACTTTTTTTTTACACAAGTATTTTAAAAAAGTTTTCAAGTTCATAGTGTCATCAAAATTTGTTTAATGTCAGGATTACAATCAAAACCATGGAAGATGTTTTATTTTGCAGGGATGGCTTACTGCAGCCTGAATCCCTTGATGCAGTAGCCATGGTTCTGAAACTAGGGTAAGCATCAGCCTCTCCCAGAGGACTTGTTAGACACAGCCTGCTGGCCTCACCCTCAGAGTGTGTGATTCAGGGGGTCTAGGAATGGGGCCTGAGAATCTGCATTTCTAACAATTCCCAGGTGATGCTGCGGCCGCTGGTCCCACACCACACTTGGAGACCCAGCAAGCAGAGGAAGCAAGAATCTATGTACCTGTGGTGAGGGCTGTAAGTGTCTCGCTCCAGGGTGGGAGGAGGAACACCATCTGGAAATCACCCAGGTGTCTCCAAGGCCAATTCTTGGTCTCACTTTAGCTTATACCTTCTAGTTACTTAAAAATACAATGGTATGGGTTATTTATCCTTGGAAGAAAAATACAATGGTTTAGTCCTGCATATCGCCACATACTATACACTTTAATTATACATATTTCAGGCTACAAATGAGCCAGGGAAAGTATATTTCCACATATAAAAATTGAATCTATGATCATATACAGTCTTTCTTTGGCCCTTTCCTGGTTTCCAGGCCACCCATCACCCTGGGCAGCCTCCTAGCCTGGGTTACTTAGGTTGTAATCACATTACACTCACCAGCAGGGACACCTGGCTGGCTTCTCCTCACCCTGCACTGATGACAGGGCCCAGATACTTTATTTTCCTGAGGACAGGAATTGTGTCTCTCCCAGAACAGACTTCAACTGCCGGGCTGCAATTCCCAGCCATCACAGGGTCTCTGCAGTTTCTTCAGCGCAGGAAAGAACCCTGCACTTGGTCCCAGCCCAGGGCTGACAGAGAGCTTGGCTGAGTGGAGCGCTGGCAGCTGTCAGGGAACAGGGCCTGAGCTCTGGTCAGCGAACACTGAAGCTGGGTGCTCTTACTGCTAACACCCCCTGGATAATCAAGTGGCTTGTGGGTTTGGTGACTCATACTCTTAGACAAAAATGATAAAATACACTTTCTTACAAAGGTCTTAGTGCAGCTGGCAAACCAGGTTCATGCAATGTGCCTGTGAAACCTGAGCAGCAGGGCAGGTCCCTGGGGCAGTCCCTGTCTGCGCACCTCCGGGAAACCACATTTCTGCACAAAGCTCATGTCCAAAGGGAAACAGCACCAACACATCAACTATGGCAGAGAAGCCAATGTTCTTTCTTCCTCACCTCCCCAAATACTTGTATTATTACTGAGCCTATAATAGAATAAAGAACTCCCAAACATATGTAGATTGCAACAACTTGACCACAGTACCAGTCACTTCCAGAGCTTCAGTGTTTGTCCAAGTGCAAAAAACACCCAACTGTGGGGCTGAGGGGTGAGCATGACAAGGTATTACCTGCCTACCTTCAGGTGCGTTGCTGAGACAAGCCTTTCCCAGACAGCGAATGGGCTCCCTGGCACCAGGTCCATGATGCAATGCAGCAAACGCCTCCTGTGTCTCCTGGGGGAGTGGCAACCGTTTCATCAACACCAGACAGCAGTTCCCCAGTGAACATTATCAAGTGACCACGGTGAGGACACCGTCCATATTTATGGCCTTATGAGAGGAAGATCTACCTATTTTAAACATAAGCATATTTGTGAAGGCTGGGAGTTGTGTAAGGGCAGCTGGACATTACAGAGACCACTTCCTCTTATTAGGGCTGCCTGGTGATTAAACTGCCCCTCATGCAGAAGCAGAGCCCAGGAGGCCTCACAGGGCCTGTCAGTGGGGCACTGGCTGCATGAACTGGTCAGGGAAGGCGCAGAGTGACGGGGGTTGTAAGTCTGCAAACCATTTGGTTTCACATTTTCTCTGCTCGTGAGGGACAAAGAATATTCTTTTAAAAAAATTATTCTTAAAAAATCTGGGAGGGAAAGAAATGCCAGCGAAAGGACAAAGAGGGAGCATTGGAGACAGTGCTTCCATATTTGAGAAATTCAGTTCTCCAGACAGTCCGAATTTTGTTTTATTTACCAATTCATCCCTCAGTACAAGGAAAAGTCGAACTGCCCGGAGTCCACAGAGTTGAAAAGCAACTCATATTTATCATTCAGTTCTTAGATCTTCAAATGCTATGAATTCAGTAGGAAGGTAATGGTTTCGCTTTGCAGCCAAGGGAAATCATCAAAAGAAAAATCTTGGCTCCGCCACCTTCACTTACAGAAGGTAAAACACTTAACAGAGACAGATTTCTGTTGGAGTTAGACTAGATTTCTCTTCACAGCCCTTAATCTCACGAGGTGAGAAGGGTGGGAGTTGCCAAGTAGCTGGCTACCAGACCCATCAGTCTGTTTAACTCTGGCTAAAAGCAGAGAATAACGGGCAAGTCACCAAGTTTCTCCCCCTTCGGCTCTGGCGTGAAGATCCTCATGCCACACAGACACTGAGGCTTCCAGCTGCCACACGGAAGCAGGCGCATGGACAGCGCTGTGATTCTCCAGGCCACGTACAGAAAGACAAGATAAAAAATTAGGACTGAAGACTAAAGGCATTTTGGTTTTCCAGCTGGGTTTCCCACCCTGGCAAACTCTCAGTGGTTCATTCCCCCAACCAACCCCCCAAATGAGTTGACTAGTAAAATGACCTTCCAGTGAACAGAAATTGAGCTCCTCTGTTATCCATCACTATCTGCCAATTCTTTACAAAGACGACTATGGGACGAGGTGCAGAAGGAGGAGGAAAAAAGTCCAGCTGCCTCAGGATGTGCCTCTAAGTGGCATGGGGGCACCACTGATGAGTACTGCTCTCCCTGTTCTATGAGCAAAAGGCCTAGGGACCAATTGGGTGCCCCCACTGATGAGGAAATTCTTGTCCTTAAAAATAAACCTAAGCTGCTTGCCTTTCTCTTTGCCTGCCAGTTTGGAGTGAGTGGACGGCCTTTAAATGTACACTCGTTTGTAGTGATGCCCAGTCACTGGGCCAGCCGTTACGCGTGGAGCAGAGCCAGCTCTGGCAGATACATTAGGAGGCCACCTATCCTAGAACGGCTCCTTCGGGGTGGAGGGAGTAGTGGCCCTACAGGGAGAACGCATGCAGTGCTTGTATTTTAAGTAAGCTTTCTCTTTCCAAATAATCCCCAATTCAGCCTCAGCAAGAATTTGGTCTACAAAACCCACTGTTTAGCAAACACCTGAAATTAGTGAGGTCAACATGCTGACTCTAAATATAGCCAAACATTTAGTAATTAATTAAGACTCAGGGTCACAAAACTTGGTCCCTGAAGTCAGGGAAATATCTTACTAATTAATGACCGGGCATATTCCAAACAGGCCCTATGGACACAGACTGTTTTGTGGGACACACTTGATCTGCTAACAGCAGGACAGTAGCATGGCTTTTCAACAGGGCGCTCATATAGTCTGCTGAGGCTAGGTGCTCCTTGTAATGTGGCGAGCAGGCTTACAGTACTGAGACAAGTCCACATATATATTTAACAAAGACTTGTATATTTTAATGCAAATCTAAGGACCATCCTTGTTCTAAGTTTATAGATGATTTGAATAAATCTCAAAACTTTGTAAAATGATAATCTAGTACCCTACATATGAAGCCCTTTGTAATAATCACTTTTTTTTGCTAATTTGAAAAGAACCTACTCATCAAATCGAGTGTAAACATGGATGTCAACCATCTTTTTAGTTTTATAAATCTATATTTAGCATTCATCAACATGAAGACTGACTTGCCTACCATGATCCTAAACATGAGAAAATACCTTTCTTTAAAAAACAGTTACAAATATTTATTAAAAAGTGCAATTCAGAAGTTAGTGGGGCAACTACATCGCTGCAAATCACTGAAAAGTGGGGGAGGGGAGTCCAAAAGAACAAAAACCCATGAAATACGACCAGGAAAACAAAAGTAAAAAAAAAACTAGTGTGCTGGAGCATGGACCCCTAAAGATAAGGAAATGACAAGTCTGGCTAGAAGTCTACTCAGGTGTTGCTGCACTTCCTAAAAAGTGCAAACGCCAGAGAGACCCGCAGCCGTACCACCAGGCTCTGGCTCCCGGCCCTGCTGCTCCGTTACTATCAGGCTACCCACCGGGGCGGTCCGACAAATATCCTATGTACACATGCACATCGGAGGCATTTAAAAAGTCATCAGAAGCTTGAGTTTCAGCTACTACAACTCAATTAAAGCAACTGCTGTTTAAATTTGGATTGGCTCAGTTATTCAGTGGATGATAAAAATCGAGTTGTCATCTTAGGGAAAAAAACCCAAGTTTACCTACCCATTCTTGCCATTACTCACAGGGTAAAAAAACGTCAGGTTCAGAATTAGCCTTTTCTGTCATTACAGTTTTTGAGTAAATGTGGTAATATACTAACCACTCCAATCCCATCCCCTCGAAGTAGAGTACCACAAGAATAAATAAAATAACTGCCGACAAGGCTAGCCCCGGATGTTAACCCAGGAGTGTGCCGCTGAGCTGCTCAGTGGCCATATATTTCAGGGTTGTCCAAAAATACAAGTTGCACCCCCGGGGAGGCAGGAAAGCCATGTGAACGGGGCAAGGCTCTGACTCCGGGGACGTCCCCCACCCTCCCTCAGCTGTGCAAACTCAGGGTCCTGACGCCCTTGCCTCCTTTAAACCACAGGTTGTTAGCACCCCCAAAGCCCAGTGCTTTTCATAATTTTCCATTAGTTATTCCTACCACAAAAAAAATGCCTGGAAAAGCAATTTTACCCCAGCACTAATCCCTGAAAAAACGAATCACTGCATTTTGTGTCACAAACTGCTTCTGGGCCTTTGTCCCCACGGAGAGCCAGCTCTCAGAGGCTGTGGAATGCTACCACAACGGGAAACGAGTCACACCCAGGAGCCTGCATGCCCAACAGGGTCTCCTGGATGGGACGGTGGGGCGCTGCCCAGCACGGGGAAGGGGTCTGAGCAGGAGAAAGGAGCTGCCAAAGGCAGATGATATGAGCAACTGCAAACATCTGTTGAGTCTGCAAGTTTTTCTGGACTGCTCCGAGGCTGTCTGTGGGGAACGCCGTCCAGGGAGGCAAAGCCGTCCAGGGAGGCAAAGCGGTCCAGGGAGGCAAAGCGGTGGCAGGTTGTCCTCAGGACAGGACAGGCAGTGCCGGAAGCGCGCAGTCCTCCTCCTCTTCCCACGGGCCTTTCCCGTGCCCGGACGAGGGAGCTGTCTCAATTGTGGGGTCACAAAGAGGAAAGTCAAGGCAGGCCGGGTTCCCAGGGCAGGAAGGAGGGGAGGTGGCAACGCCGCCTGCACGGCCGCTCCTCCTCCCCGCCGGTTCCGCGTCACAGCACTAGGAAGAGGATCAGCACGACCAGCAGGATGACAAAGAGGACGGCTATGGCGCACCACTGGCGCCGATCTGGAAGGCAGGACACGAGGGTTAGCTCGCTTAGGACTCCACCATCCCCAGCTTACAGTCACGTGGAACGTGGGCGGAAAAGGGCCGGCCGGCGGCGCCCACCCTGCTCCTGGCCGGCAATGCCTGTGCTCCCAGCTCCCAGCCCCCTGCAAGCGCGCCTCGTAATAGGGACGTGCTGGGTCTCGGGTCTTAAACTCTGTGCATCTTAGCTTTCTCCCATCTGTTCTGACACTTTCTGCCCTAACAATTTTGAACAAGCACAAAAACGTGGTGTCTGGGTCCACCTGAAAGGCCAAGGGCAAGGAGGCCACCCAGGCCTTGGGGGAATCCGGCTGCAGCCCGCGATCCTGACCCGGACTGCAAACACCACGAGCACCTCACGCCGCCATGTCGGGCTCGGTGCACGGGACGCTGCCTTCACTTGGGGAGATGTGGAAAGAACAAGCCGCCTTCCCATGCCTGAGACCTGCCTTTTCCCACAGTGGGTCAGATAGAAAGGAATTTCACTAGCCTATGAACTTGTAGCACAACTGCTAGAAATAAGAGTTCCATTTAAATAAAAATATAAAGTTATGGCTATTCATCAGAAGTTTATTTGACAGCCTGCCAGGTTAAGCATGCCATAGCTATTTGAGAATCACATTTTAAGAAGGTCTGAATCTAGGAAGACAGATTGCAAAACTTTCCACAGAGCAAGGTTAGGTCCACAAAACTTGGAATTATGTAAATGTCATGGATAGCAAAGTCTTACACTGGCCCAGAGAGCTGCCACCGAATGAGAGTGTAAAGCAAGTAACTTCTTAGCGGTGATCACCTCGCTGTATCTCAGGCAGGCTAGAGACTCACCAGGAACTGTCAGGAGGGCAAAGACCCCAAGCCTGTCTGCTCCTTTTCTGAAATAGGACTACCCCAAAGGGCATGGGGGTTTTGGGGGAGCATAGGGAGGCATGGGGGGGATGGGGGGCAGAGTCAGCCAACTCCAGAGTATTTTTAATCTGTTTAATTATCACCTCAATGGTCAAGAAAACCCTAGTACCTAGCATTCTTTCATCCATTTAAAAATGTTCACAGTAATTTAAACCACTCTTATTAAAATGATTAGCCAACATTCAAGGACAAAATGAGGTAACTGCTTCCTACCACCTCCCACCCCAATCCAGCTATTCTCAAATCCAGATTTCTAATACTGAACAGCTTTCCATCAGCCTCAATCCAACCCCTCCTGTCTCCAATCACTTTCTCTTCTGCAAATGCATTAAATAGTTTTTTTTTAAATCAAGGCACACATCTATTTCACAAGCCAGCACAACCCAGGGATGCTCTTTTAAAGCCATTTTCCTTTGAAGTGGTAAGTTGCTTTTATGAAGCGTGAACAAGGTAACCCTAGGGAGCTATTCTCCTAGCAGACTTCCCCCCAGAAGGGGTGAGTACTAACCACAAGGGCTTGTGATCTCAAGTGAAAAGTGTAACCAGCTTTGCAAGCTCAAAACCTGCCTCAAAAAGTCAGAGAACAAAGGGAACTCCAAGGGTAGTATTTTTCCCTCCCAGTATAATTTTCCTCCCCTAAAGAGAAAAGCTGAACAACAGAACTTTGGAAAGTGAGGGGAAGAAACCCCAGGATCTGCTCTAAAGAATACCGTTTCTTCGGGTAGGAGAATGATGAGAGTAGTGTCTCTCCTGAGTCATCCAACGAAGTAAGGGGGGTGTATTGGCTGATTTCTAGCCAGGAAGCAGCCGGCCAGGTGGAGGGCCCACGTCCTGCCTCTCAAGAACTGGGGAGCCTGTGTGCTCAGTTACTGCCTCACCAAACTTCAGTGTGTCCTGATATCCTGGCTTATGGACCAGCTTTTTTAAAAAGCAGGGAACTTTAACTTTCCCAAAAGTCAGGAAAAGAACAGAGACAAATACAAATCGCCTTATCATCAAAGTAAAGTCAACACCATCGAGCAGGAGGGTTTCTTTTGGGAGCAAGCAAGTAAGATCAAAACCACAGGCAAGCTGTCCATAAACCGAAGGGCCTTTCAGGCTAAATGCTGTTTCCTGGCTCTCCTTCTTAGACAAATATAATTAAAGTCCTTACTTTGCTCCCCAAACTTTTCTTTCGGGAGGAAATAGAACAAAGCATAAGCAAGGCTCAGTGCTATTTATACACGCTGAGCCACTTACCACAATGCAAGTACTTTTCTAAATTATTCATACTCAGAATGCTGGGAAACAAGGACACATGCACCTTTGTTCACTTGCTCTTCCCCAAACAAAACTGGTGCTGAAGCAGCTACTTGACTCTGGGACTAATACATAGACTAGTGAGAGGCCTGGTGTTTAAACTGGTTATATAACACTTCATTAAGGCCTTTTTTTTAAAGGAGTGGGTCGGGGTGGAAGAGCAGAGAACAGAGAGAATCATGAAGAAGACTCTGCCAACGTTTTTTCAGGGCCTGAAAGATGAGCTACGCTGGCGCCTGCCCCGGGCAATGGAGAGCCTCCTAGAAGTACAAAGGCAGTTGCTCCTGGAGAGAGGAGGGGGCGAGTCCGGCTCGGCGTCCCCTTTATTTTGGATGTAACAGGTCCTTTGCCTCTTAGGGTGATCTTCTGCCTATTTTTTTTAAACAAATATTTACTAAGTACTAATACATGGGAGACACTGTTAATCACTTACTCATTAATTGTTATTCATTTAATCCTCACAATGACCTTGAGGGGTAGGCATCACCCTGCTTTTCATAGATCAGAAACTGAGCCCCAGGGAACTATATGTAACCTGATGGCGTGTTAAACTGCTGGGAAGCAAATGTCATATATTATGTATTTAAATCTTGCCTCGAAAAGCTAAACTCTTAGACCCTATACCATGCACCTGATGGGAAGAAACCAGCAGCAGAACAAGGTGTTCAGCGAGAGGGGAGGTTCTAACGGTGGGAGGAGTCATGGTTCCAGACGCTGGAGTCGGCCTCACGGAGTTTCTCGGCTCCTCCCTTCACCAAGCCATGCCCACCAAATAAAGAAAAAGAGAGACACTGGACTTCCTTGCATTTAAAATACATTGTTTCTCATGTAAAAAGGGAGATGGATTGCAGTAACAAAAAAACAGAGTCACTGGAACATAATCTTCCTATAGTGACTGATCTGAAAATTGTTCCTTCTTAATCCCCATCCTGGTGCAAATGCTGGAATATTTCACTATGGATTTAAATGAAAACCAGTGAAATGTCTTCAAAGCTGCTTTACTCTGAAAAGATAGTAGTTTTTTCTTTAATTAAAGAAAGTCAATCCAAGAGAAACAGTAACTGTCTTAATTACTATTTTAAAATAACTTCCCTATTTTGACAAACAAGCAGGAAAATAAAATAAAAAGATTTCATAACTGCAAAGAAAGTTGCTCCACCGGGAGCTAAGCCCCCCAAAACCACCAGCCCTGTGCGGTGGCGGCACACACGTGGCTCCCCAAGCGAAGGCCACAGCAGCAGGTAAGGCCCGTGCGCACGAGGCTTCCTGCTCTGACCTGACAGCCTGATCAAACACGTGCCACAGGACAGGGGTCTGAATGGGCGCACCTACGAGAGACGGGCACAGACAGCTTCTAGAATTCAGTAATTCCTAAGCTTTGAGCACCATACATACCGCTGGTCATGTGAGATACTTTTGCAAGCTTCTTCATCACATTGTCCAGCCGAGACTGGGTGCTCTCCAGCTCGTGGGAGAAATCATCCAGCATGCTGGAACGAGAAGGGGGCTGGTAAACACCGCGTCTGGGCAGCGCACTGGCCATGGACTTTAACCAGAGCGAGACCTCAGTCCTCGTGAACAGGAATCGGGCAACATGAGGATGAGAGCCCCCAATCTATTACCCAAAATCCTTGGGACAAAGTATGTTGGGATAAGACACTTTCTGACTTGAGAATCTGGGGAATTTATAAAAGTAGTGGGTTGCATATGCTGTGTGTTAGCCAGCCCCTCAAGCAGGTTGGGGTAGTCCCTGTAATCAAACGTGCTGATGTGTCTATGGAGAAATGACGAGGAATCAGAGGTGCGGTCAGTTCAGGTCAGGGTTTTCTGTAACACGAGTTTGCCACAAACTTAAAAAAAAAAATGTTCGAGAGCTTTCTAGATCTCAGAATTGCCAACGAGGTGGTATGGACCTGAGTTTACAAAAACACAAACTCAGTGGCTGCGCAGCACAGTGGAAAGAAGGCTAATGTGAAGTCAGACAACCAGGCTTTGCCACTCGCCTGCCACGCTACCTTGGACAAGGCCCCCTACAACTCTTTGGGACTGTCTCCTCATCTGTAAAATGGGGTACTCCTACCAGCCCAGCTCCCTGCCAGATTCTGGAGTGCCCGGGAATACAAAGCACTTCACAGTAACAGGTGTCAAGAAACACACTTTACTCAAGTACCGGTCTTTAAAGAACTCTGAGCTTCAGCATGAAGCTGGGAGGCCTTGGGAGTGACATTCCTGATGGTGGGGTGCTCCTCCTCTACACCCACGGAGACACCAGTGTTTTCCCACAAGAGAAACGGCTCCAGGAGGCTGACACTATTTGCTGTCCAAGGTGCAGCTGGGATGGAAAACACCAAAAGACTCTTATGCCAACAGTGTTTATTTCATAAACTACTAAACATTCTACACTTTTCAACTTTGTATTAACATATGATTATCCTGAGGATATAATGTAACATACCAATTATGACCAGAGTTCTTATTAAAAAGGCGTGATTACTCTGTCAGCATCGATGGCAGGAGAAACTACTGGTTTTGGTCTGTGCCCATGGGAGGCACCTGCCGGCCCTGCAGGATTCGGGGTGGCCACCTCCTCATTAAGTCAATTATTAAATAAACCCCGTGTTGACAACAAGATAAATAAGTCTTGCCCCTTGCCTGAATTTTCAGATTGAAACATTTTTAGCTTATCTTAGGTCCTGGTAGCATCTTGGCCCTGCAGCTGGCAGACCTACCCAAGCAGGGCCAAACCCTGGGAAAAACAAGGCCTACTTTTGTGAGCTGGGCATGACTTTTCCTCCTGAAGACAAAATGGGCAAGTCATTTAACTTCCAGCCCAAGGACACACACTAACCCAGCTGCTAGCCCAGGTCTATCAAGCTCAGTGCTGTCCAAAAGAAAGACAATGCGAGTCACAAATGCCGTTTAGTATTTCCTAGTGGCTACGTTAAGAAAACCAATGTGATTATTTTAATAATCTTCTTTACTTAACTCAGTATATACAAAAATATTATTTCAACATGCAATTAGGAAAAAAATAATAAACTACTTAAATTTTTTTTCAATAGTAAGTCTTCAAAATCCGGTGTTCATTTTACACTCAGGGCACATTAAAATGTAGACTGGCCATATTTCCCCAACACAACAGCCGCCTGTGGCTAGTGGCTAGGGTACTGGACAGCGAACGTCAAAGACCAGGAACCACCTTCTTTTCCTTCTAGTTTACACATCACTTTTAATCAAAGTTATACACACACAGATGGAAGAGTTAAATGGTCCCACGAGGACTGTTAGAGAAAACCAGCTCTTCCTGTTTCCCAGGGCAGCTGCTTTCAACCGCTCACACTTTTCTCCATTTTTCTCAGTGATGCTTGCACCTCAGTATCCTGACCCTGCTGAGTGCGCCCGTGAGAGGCTGGGGCTCAGCTCTCCTCCATTCCGCTCCCCACCTCTGCACCCTCCCCACCTCTCTCCTCCCTTCCTTTCAACACAATCGGTCACAACTTGATGAGTCATCACCTTTCAGGGTGCACAGGGCCACAGGTGAGCAAAAGCTCTCCCCAGCTGGGGTGGACGCGGGCCACTCCCTGGCTCTCCCCTGCCCTGGCTGAGGATTCAGTTTTCTCCAGTCTGTTGAGTCAGTAACCATTTGTCTTTCTACTTTTCCAGGATCTACAATGTTACGGTATTGTTCCTTCTTCTGTGCTCTATGTTCCCACAGGTGGTGTGCCATAAGGAAATCCCTCTTTCTAGTGGGCTTTAGAGAGGGAGCAGAGATAAAAGAGTGCGTTCAATTCACCATCTTCAGCTGAATGTCTGTGCGGCTCTATCATCTACCCAACCAGGAGCAGCTCAGGCGATTAGTCCTTCTCACCCCCAAACTGGAACTGGAGGACAGGAAAGCATTTTAGACAGAAATTAAACATGCATGCCTAGGTTCCTGCTCTTCCAGCTTCCCACCTGAGCTCCCTGCCTCCAGTCTTGCTCCGCGATGCTTGGTTCATCCTCTAAACCACAGACAGACAGATGGGCCCCCCAAAGACGCAGACCTGACCAGGGGATTACTCCCCTCACAACCTGCACTGGTCTGCATCAGCCTTAGAGTTCTAAGCCCTAAGTCCTTAACCCGGCCTCTGAGCCTCCTTGATGCCTCCTTGGCCTCCCTGTCCTGACTTCGGCAGCTCCCCTCTCAGTCCCCGCGCTCGGGACACACCAACCCCCTCTGGTCCAGCCCTTTCTCACAGGTTCTCTTCCTCCCTCCTGGCGGACCTTCCTCTCACCCTCCCTGCTTACCTGCCATCTTCTCCTCCTCCTTCCAGTGAAACCTCTCTGCCCAGGGCCTTAGAACAGGTTAGGTCTGCAGCTGGAGTAAGTTAGGGTTCTCCAGGCACATGCCTTCACAGCTGAGCCCCCACTTCCCTGTCACCACTTAATGACTTGAGCTCATTCACGTAACGTCCATGCTACCCAGTAAACGGTAAACTCTCTGATGGCAGTGACACTGTCTATTTCCTTTATCAATACCCAGGGCCATCCTGTAGAACAGACGCTCAGTTTGAATTTACAATGAATGAGTGCCTAAACTGAACACAAGACTGAGATAGAAGAGTTCCTGGAATATCCTAGTGCACTTTTGTTTTTCAGAAAAATTTCGTGAAATGGTAAAGGTATTATGTGGTAGCATTTAAATTTAAGAATGCTGGTTTTGGTGTCATACTTCAGAGTGTAGAAGGAGATTGTTCCTTAAGGAAACAAATAAGCCCGATTATGCTTTCTTATGTGCCTTATTATTACTTTTCATTTTGGAGAGGGAAGATGTTTTTTTTATTAATTTGAGCTAACTTTTTAAGCTTTTTTTCTTAAAGTTAAAATGCACAGCAGAACGTTTTGTTTGATGTAATGGGAGCATTATGGGATGACGGAGTTAGCTCCTGTCCTGTCCTCTTTGGGACACAAATCCCCACCAAGGTCACGGAAGCCATATCTGTTTCACACTCCCATTCATAATGACACCTTAAGTATCTGCTCAGAGGAACTTGTATCTGTTTTTGCAGATACTGAAAAATAATAATCTTACCTAAACCCCATTGAAAATTATATCTAATAAATTTGCTTCTTTGGGAGAGGCTAGTCTGTGAAACAAACCGTTTTTGGTTTTATTGGCCACGTGACTGTCAGGCTTTTTCGGGGTCCTGTAAGATGGCTTTTCCCTCAATTTCCCTGCAGCAAGAGGGGCATCTCCTTACTCACACTGCCTGCTCCTCCAACTCCCCTCCGATGCGCTGGGACATGTTCTTAAGCACCCCGATGCTGCCAGAGACCAGCTCCAACTGCTCATCCTGCTGTTCCACGATCAACTGGTGCCAGAGAAATGGGAAAAAAGCAATTAAAACCCATCTTACCTGGTTCCAAGCCCAGCACTGTCGCAGTTGCTAGCTTCTTTGCCAGCCTGGGACAATTCGCATTCAGAAGCGAAGCCCAGAAATCAAAGGCCCAGACACCGCCTCAGTGAACTCAAGCTCACAGGGCTGGGTTGTCCAGCTCTAGTGTCTCCTGCTCATCCAACCTGTGAGGAGTCATGGGGCTCAAAACTACCAGGAGAGATTTGGCCCAGTTGGCTGGACAACAAGGGAACAGACCAGGGCCAAAAGCACCTAAGCAGTGACCACTGACACGTGGGAGGCTTGAAAAGGAAGCCCAAGCCAGGGTCAGGTCTCAGTCCACACTGACTGCCACAGCTTAAATACCAGCGAGTTCCTGGCCAATCTCTGCATGTGGGAAAACTGTGCACACAGAGTCCCTGCCTTACTCCTCAAGGACAACAACTGAGCTGTAAATATTTACTTCTAATTGTGTTCTGGCCTCCTCACTTTTTATTAAAAAAAAAAAGTTTGCTTGGTTAATAGCAATTTAAGTGGACAACTGGTTACACAGACATGGTAATGGGAAAAAGAACAAATACATAAGCTATATGTATATATAAAACACGATATTTAAGTACCAACAGTTTAAATGGATAGATAATCCTCAAATCCCCAGATATATTATCACTGGCCTCCTTTTATTAATACAACCACATTATCAAAAGCAACTATGCAGACATAATCAACCTCTCTTTCTTCTATCCCTTCACGGCCTCCAAAGCAACCATTTTTACCTATAATGGAACCAACAATAATTTTCAATGAAACAAGGACTCAGTTTTTCTGCAAGTGCCTTTGTTGAAATGAACAAAAACCAAGTATACAAGTGGAGCCCGGGGAAGAGGTGGTGGTGGTGGTGGTTTTTTAATTCAGTGGCCTTGACTGTCAGGTTTGGATGTCCGATCTGCTTCTGCTAAGAAACCTAACCAAGCTTGGTTCTCTTGAGACAGTCATGCCCTAAAGGAGGTTTTAAAAACCCTTCCTACATGCAGTCACAGGCATGTGGACACAGGCAGGTGCAGGTCACCCCCTAGCGGGCAGCGGGTCCAGGGAGGTGCCCGGCCCCCACCCCTTGCCGTGGGCCAGCGGGTCCTTGGTACCTGCTGCTGTGCCTGGTGCTCCTCAATGAAATGGGAGTTGGCTGACTGGAGCTCACGGTCCAGGCGCCCGTACTTCTCCATCGTGCCAGTGCTCCAGCTCTGGCTGCCGCTGTCTCCTAGCAGCGCCTGTGAGAGCGGGAGTGGGTGGCTGGGTCAGGGGAAACAGCCTGGTACCATCCCTGCGCAGCGCTCCTTACAGAGATGTACAGGGTTCTATTGCTCATACTCCACTTCCCCGGGTCAGCCTTTTAGGTAATGGTACAATTTCAGGAATGCCAGGAAGGCTACTTTCTGTCTCCAAGCTCCCCCAGTGGGACTCTCAAAAGGGCTTTGTCCTTTTAAAATGCAAATAAACTGTTAACTTTAAATCAACAGACGCTCTTGTGTTTATTGCTTTACATCTAACAGCACTCATCCCGTCAGGCCAAGATCACTAGAGACCCATAGGTCCTAGTCTAACTGAGTCCAGATATTTGGAATCCCTTTTATTTAATTACGACCTAAGGTTTTTGGTTTTTTGGAGTAGAGAGGGGAGAGTGCCCTAGAAGGACAAGACACTAAGTCATAGCCTGTCACAAGAACCACCAATGTCTGTTCAATTTAACCCATGAGTAAATCCCAGTACCCTTCAGATTTTGGCTACAGGCTTTGCAGATGGGAACTGGTGGTTGCTTTACCAGGCAGGTAACAGCCCCACTGGGTGGCTGACCCCACTAACCCAGGCAAGTGCTGGCCCTGCCATTAGAGTGCCCCACCAAGGCCCTCAAATGCCAGGTCAGGCTTCCAGATAATGAGTCCAAGGAAGTTTGAAGTCAGAACAGGCTAAGCTTGTGAAATCTTCCTTATGTGAGAGAGCAGCCAGGCCTGTGAGTGCCCAGTCTCAGCAGCCGGCTCTGACTGGGAGCTGCACAAGCCTTTCTGACCATCCGTCAGAATAACCACTCACATCAGCACTGCACAAAGAACTGGAAGATGCTGGCAACTAAGATTCTTTCTCCTTGTAGAGTTGCCAAACCTTCTCACCAGGTATTTTTTGTCTCTGGAACTGTTGAAAGCCTGCCTGACATGGTTTTCTGTCTGAAACGTCCTCCAATAGTTCCTCAGTAGTGATGCAACCTCCTCGTTTGACTCACAGAGGTGACCTCAGTCAGACGGTCATGCATCAGCAGCGAGCCTCCAATGCAGAGCACAAGTCCTGAGGTCATTATGAGAAGGACCAGGATGTCTGGGAACTTCCAGTCCAAGAACTCAGTCCAGTCAAGAGGCTGGAATGGTGACTGTCTCTGGTATAAAGCACATCCAAGGCCTTTTTGTGGATGGCTATGTCCCAACCTAGTCTTCGGGCTACTGAGGTTTAAAAAACCCTGCTTGTTCTGATGCAGGGATTCTAAGGACCTCTATGGAGGGCACTGGAGGTTAGTGACCATTTTTTCAAGGTCAGCAAAAGGCTACAGTATATCCCTAGGCTATGGACAGAGGACTGGGGCTCCACCAGGGCCTTGTACACCCCTGAAGGGCTATTTTTCTAGCTTATCCATGGTCTACACTTAGGTACACAGGTCGCATTGTTAAGACTCATCTATGCTTTAGAGGGAAGTAGCTTAGATTTTATCAGTCTGACCTCTAGGAGTATTTTAATGGGAAAGAAGATGGAGGAAGGGCTCAGAGCATGGCAGACTATGGGTGCCAGAGCTGGAGATCTCAGCTAAGCAGAGTAAACAGCACAGTGCCTGGGTCTACACAGAACAGCGAGGCGGGCTCTGCCTGCTTGAGTGCTTAGAGCACCTGGCCCTGCTATTCCCGGAGACATGCCGCAACGTTTCACCCAGTGCCTGAAATGGAATCCCAAGCCACGCTTAGAAAACAGTGTAGAAATACACATTTTATTTATGTTAGTTCAACTATATTATTTAGAGAGTAAAAAATTCAAATTAGGAATAAGACAGGATAAGTATTTCCTACCTGGCTGTCACCACTATTTCAGGAACTCAACTTCTGTAAGCGGAGGGGGAAACAAAAGGGAACTCCCAAATTAGCCAGCTTGTGGCCATTCATTAGCTTTTTCCAAGAGTTAGTGCCAGGCGAACTGGCTAACGGCCTCCCTAGCTGCACTGTTAAGAGCGAGGGAGGGAGGCTGGAGGGAAAAACAACAATGACTGGAAAAATGCAATGCAGGGAAGAGGAAACAGGGAAATTAAGGTAGGTGCTATGAGGAGAGGCCTTGCCCTTCTAGCTTTTCCAATACTTGTTTTTGAAGTGGTCAACAGACATCCACAGGTATAAAGTAAGGATTTTCATTATGAATTGCTGATTCCTAGCTAGTGAAAAACGGTGAGCTGATTTCTTGAGTTAATGGTCTACTAAATGGACTGGTAACTTTATGGAGTCTGAATAGAATCTACACTGAGTCTATATTTTAGGTGACTGTTGTATATTTTTAAAAAGGACTATATTTTATCAGTTGGAACAGAATTTCTATCATACACCAAAGTGTCTAATTTAAAAAAGACATTTAAAGTTCAAGGATTGGTTTCTTGCAGCTTTTAATTTTCATGTGTCTACATCTGTGCTTTGGTTTCTGAAATGTATTAGATTTCAAAAAATTGCAATAAAAAACGACCTCAATTAAAAAATACTTAGAATGATGAAAGACTGAACACACATTAAAGTAATTTAATACACATTTAAATTAAAGGCTCCTCAAATGTCTCTACACAAATTTCAATCATTAAATGTCTAGGGAGGTCTATGGGCAGGCATTGTAAAAGCAGCCAGAGATTTTAAAACAAACAAAAACAGATCATGACACAATCCCCTTTACTCTTAAGGAGCCTGGAGTCCAGCAGAGCAAAAGACAACTAAGCAATTATAGCCCTTAGCGGAGCTTGGTACACAGAATGTACTCAACAGATGCTGAAAATGAAGGTTGGGTGATAAGGCCTGGAAGGTAAGCAGAGGTGAGCCAGAGGAGAGAACCAGGGGGTGTGCGGAGGGGAGGAGGGAGGGGCAGCTGACATGGTGGCTGGCTACACCTTCACAGAACCTGCCAGCCTCACTCCAGGCTCAGAGGCACAGTTCTCCAGCATGAACACATGATACATGGACATCAGCATTTTTTAATCCCAAATAAATAACCATGAATTTTCTGTGACTGATACTGCATATTCAGATGTTTACTCACCTGTCTATTTTTTCTTTCAGCTAATGCCTGCACAGATGAAGTTGACATCTGATCCTTCATGTCCTAATGAAATAGGCAGAAGAGCAGAAAACAAAGGAATATCTTTAAACAAAATCATGGCTAATATTGCACACTAGGCAAAATATGCCTAACTTATTAAATATACATATACAAACATATATATATTTTTTTTACAAAATGAATTTTTTGGCTTTTATTTTTGATCTCAAAAATAAAGGAAATAACACATAATGTAGGAGAGGGGCACAGGAAAGGCCATATAACAGAGAAGACAAGTAGTGATTCTGTAGCATCTTACTACACTGATGGACAGTGACTCTAATGGGGTATGTGGTGGGGACTTGATAATGGGGGGAGTCTAGTAACCATAATGTTGTTCATGTACTTGTGTATTAACAATACCAAAATATAAATAAATCAATAAATAAAGAGAGTGACGGTCCCTTAACAAGTGGTAACCTAGATGCTGAATTTAAATAGGAGGAAAGAAGAAAGGAACTAGTATTTTCTGGGTACCCACCATAGGCCAGAAGCAATGTGAAATACACACATTATCACAGTTTTCACAAAGACCACGTAGCTAATATTGTCTCCACTTTACAGTTGAGGAGACTGTGACCTAGAAAAGCTAAGATACTTTCTGAAGGTCACAGACCTGTGCTCGAGGGCCAGCCTCTTCATGTGTGATGCATGTAAAGAAGCCAAGCACGTTAGGATAAGGTCTATTTACCACTAAACAACAGAGAATACCTTCAGAGTGATACAACAGTTCACCTATTTTATTTCTGAGTTGGAATCATGTGAAATGTAGACTATTTTTAACACCTGCGTGAACTTCCAGAGTGGTATCAAAAAGTAATTTTGTATAGAAAGACAAATGAATGGACCCATTACTTAATCTAAAGCAAAATACTTTATTAAATACAAGCTATTGTGCTTATATTTAATCACAACCCAATATATTTTAAAATGATTTGAACTGAGTCCATGATCACTGTACTACAATTTCACTCTTCTGTTGGCAAGTAGACTATTTTGTAGATGCAAATGTTGAGGTCTCAGTATCAGACTTTTAGAAACTTCTTCCAAGACCCATGACAGGTGAATGGTAGACCCGACCGTGCCACAGCTTTCGTAATTCCCATGGAGGTAAGTCTGAATGACAACCACAATGCTTCATCTTTAAAGGTGTCCATTCCTTCATTTGGCAAATACTCACTTGGGACCTAATTTTGCCCGAGAACAGCAGTGAGTGATGCCGCCTGGGCCCCTGCCTGCACGGTGGCCAACAGGCAAACAGTAATCATGCAAATGTATCCACGTGGTGATTCCTACTTTGGGGAGAAAGGGAAAAAAAGGCTGGAATCGAGTGGGTGACCAATGCCACCACAGAAGGATGGAGGTGACATCTGAATGGAGACCTGAAGGACAAGAGTCAGCCAACCACAGAAAGAACTAAAGGAAGAGAATTCCAGGCAAAGGAAACAGCAGGTATGACAGCCTGGAGGCAAGAAAAGGCTCAGTGCATTTGAGCTTGTGAGAAGGCAGCCAGGGCGCTGAAGGCACCGACCGCGTGCTGGGGCAGCAGTAAGGCCGGGAAACTGGCAGGCCTCCAGGCTGCTTAGACGTTACTCTGAAGCAGGGGTTGGCAAACTTCCTCTGTAAAGGAGCAGATATTAAATAGTCAGCCTTGGACATATATTCTTTGTCATTGTTTTTCTTTATTAACTAATGTTTACGTGTAAAACCATTCTTAGATTTCGTGGGTCACAGATCACAGGTCCCTATTCCAAGGCAGTGGGAAGCACTCAAAGCATTTTAAGCAGGTGTGTGGAGTATTTTGGCTCATGTTCTAAAAGATCACTTTAGTTAATCTGTGGAAAAAGTCCTGGCAATGAAGCAGAGCCGAAGTAAAGAGGTCACTGCACTGCAACCTGTTGAGAGGTACCAGTGCTGCCCAAGATGAGAAAGGGGGCATCCAGAAGCAGCAAGCTCCCTTCAATGAGAGGGTATGGGAGCCCTTGGAAGTGACATTGGGTAGGGCTGGGCATCTGAGGGGTGCTCCATTTAGGCTCCAACTGACCCAGATATTTAGGATTTTCTACCTCTTTCATCTGTTCACAAAACTTAAAAGGCAAAAAAAAATAAAAGAATGCCATGCATAGAAACTGAGAAAAATATACTTGGTAAAAAAAAGTACTTATCACAAAAATAAAAATATTTAAAAAATAGCAAGTATCGATACTTTTGTGGTTCACAAGCATGATGATTGGGTGTTCAAACTTTTGCATGACATGCGCCTCCCTCAAACCTTGTTACGATGTTGGCACATTACCCATCTGACTTGAAAATAAAAGTAGCAAGCATGGATTTTTAATTTAAAAAAATAGAGGAAAATAATGCTTGTAATTATAAACAGTATGATCACAACTATGTCATGTGTTGGAAAGAAAATGACTATGAGAAAATACAACAAAGTTTTATGTTTGTGTATTATTTTGCATGTGTAGATTTCTTTTTCTATTATTTCCTCTTGTAAAATTTTTCTGATTTTCTTTAATGAGCATGATTACTTTAATAAAATCCATATTTAGGAGTTCCAATTTTTAAATTTTTCTGCTTAATAAAATGTATGTAGGGGGCCGAGGGGTGGGTGTGCGAGCCCTGATGGCCAGCAAGTCCTTCCACAGCTCTGTGGTGCGCATGCTGTACGAGGCCACAGCAGCAGGTAAAGAGCTATGCTTTCCCTTCCAGGATGGCAGTTTTTTCCATGCAGGTTAAAAGTTGCCAGATACCACACAACAGATTACCTTCTTATTAGGATTTGGAATTGTAAGTGATGTCACTAAACAGTTTTAAGCATTTTGTAACAACCTGTCACGCCAAAACATAATTACTCATCTTCTTTCTAACACATGAAGTTTAGAACCAACAGTCAAGAAGCAGTTAGTACCAATAAAATATGGTTCATCTGTCAAAAGAACAACAAATGTCCTGGTTATTTATGTTGCTGGTCCCATTTCATGCTGTCTTCCAAGCTGAAGTGAATGGGGCACTGCAACTCCCAGGGCTTCCTACTCAAGAGGCCTTGCACCCCATCACCTGTGCCATGCTCTATGCCTCACCCATTTTGATTAAGCAAAGCTATTTCTATCTTGACTTATAATTGACTGCAAAGAATTCCTGGGTTGGAACAGGTTGGGTTTTTTGGGAGGGAGGTACAGATCTATCACCTTTGGAGGTTAAAAGGAAGTTAAGAGAACACTAGTGAAGCTCATTTAATTGATAAAGAAAACTGACTCAAAGAAACTAAATGACCCACCAAGGTGAAAATTTATTAAGGTCACAGCTAAGCCTGTAACTCAGGTCTCCTCCCCACCCATTGACTGTTCCCCCACCACACACTACAAAGCTAGCCATTCACTATTAAATTCAACCAAAATCACTTCTGGAATTTATTTCCATAACAAAAAATTCTACATGCAAATCTCTGATATATAGGTAACTCGACAAATATAAAAATGATTACCTCAAAAACATTAAGGCTACTTAATGGTAACAAAGAAGGTTAAATAAATTGATGATGTACAAATTCCTAATCTAAGCTTGGTCTCATGTCTCAATTATACAACTCACTTAACTCTCAATATATTGACCTCTGAATTTCAGTTTGCAAAATTTACAAGTGCCACCTTGCAGGAAGAACAAATATAATGACTAATGACAAGAACATACGCTTTACTGCAAGGCACCCATTTAAATACCAACATCTATAATGTGTCCTTCAGAAAACCTATTAAAAAAATGAAAAAGCAAGCTACACTTGTAAAATAAATAATTGGGAAGTTATTTACTTCACCAAAAAATGTATCACCGAACAACAGAGCTTCCTTATCAGAACAGCATTCCAGACTGACTAGAATTAGGAGTGTTTCTAATCCAAACGATGACTGTATAGATGGCACACCAAGGTCCAAAAGTTACAGCCCCATGAAAATGTGGGTTTATTTATAAACACTTTAGATATAGCTATATAGAAAGGCAACTAATGAATAAAACAAGGAACAAGAATATTAAAGTTCAGTGACAACCTAACATTTGAAATAATCTCAAAAGGAAATCACAAAACATATAAAGTATTTGGCAAACACACCCCAAGGTTCCTGCCTGAGATGACTCTTAAAAAGCCATATGTTAGCACTGGTATGAGCCCAAGTCTTTTTATTCAAGGAAGCTGCTTTCTAGTACATATGTTAAAGACAGCTGGTTCTCTTACATCGAGTTATGCTAATCAAAGGGCTTAGCCATATAGTTTCAAAATACAAACACGTCTCAATAATATTTTACTTTCATGATATTTTCTCTTAGCTTTTGTAACAATAAGTTATTATCTAAATCATTTGAGACTAAAGATTTGTTCACTTGACGGGTTTTTCACATTCTGATAGATGCTTGCCTGCTCTGAATAACTCTAAAAAGACTGTCAAGCAGTTGTATGTGGAAATGTCAGTAACATGGGTTGCAAGAGTTCCAGAAGCAATTCAGATGGTAGAAGAGGCAGCCATCCAAACTAGGAAGAGCCACTCTTCACAATGCAAAGTGATTACCAATCCATCAAGAAACCAAATGGTTTCTACGAAGAAATAAAGATGAAGAAAGATAACTGGTTTGGAGACATGAGAGGTATGGACAAAACCAGGGCACCGTTAAGTAACCTCCCCAAAGCCAGCAGTCTACTCTCTCATTTTGCTTTAAGAAATAGGCCTGACAATACTAAAAACAGACCTCCTGTTTTCAATCAGAGAAACTGTATATGAGTAACTGGCATCACATTCATACTAAAAACTAGTTTCAGAATTGACCTATGAGTTTACAGTTAAGGAAAAAAGTTCTGAGAAGTTTGGCTGTTTCTTACACAAAAAACACAGTACGACCATATTCCTTACCCTGACAACTTGCCGAGTACTTGTGATGAAAGCTTTTCTTATACTCAGTTCAGTTGCATCGAGGTTGAATTTTCTAGGATTTGCTTCAACTATGCGTGGGTCAAAAAGTCAAGGTAAAGCAAGTTTGTCATCAAAAGTCTCACAAAAGTCAAACCACAGAATCTCTCGCAGGCAAGCAATAAAATCTGGCCCAATATTTCTGTAAACACAGTCAACCTGACACTAATCATTCTCAAACTTTCTCTGTCCGTGGTTCCTTGTGTTCTGAGGCAGCGATGACCTGCCAGGTTAAGAACATACACCCTGCGGTTTCACTGCAGATCCATGGCTATCTGACCACAGCTGAGCTGTGCTCTTCCGGACGCCTGCCAGCACTTGCTATGTTTTTTTTATTCCAGATAGCCTTTTCATGACAGCTTTTGCAAGACTTTCTCACTTGCCATTCCAAACCATTCCACTGGGTCAAGAACCCAATCCTGCTTAATCTAGCAGAACAAGGAGGCTTCTTCATCAAAGCCTCCTCCTATCTCCTCACACCCAGCCTGGCCCTGCCCTGCCCAGGTCAGCCACTAGCATGGCTCTGTATTTCTCTTACAGTCTGAGGGTACCCATTTGTGCTATTATTTGATTAATGTGTGCCTGTGCCGCCTCTACAGCAGGATGTGCCACACGCTGTAGAAGAACTTGGCTACTCTACCTTAGCTTACTGAGCAATTATTTTAAATGTGTCCTGGATGGAACAAAAAAGAGCAACACTGATCGATTATAAAAACAAATGCCTAATCTATGAGCTTGCTCATCTGTCTGTCTGCCCAGATGGCACAGACACCACCGAAAAGGATATTGATGGTTTCATCAAGGTCCTCTAAATCCCACTCGATGCTCCGGAGGTTGTTCCTCAGCTCATTGGTGGTCCAGTCGATTTCTTCCCTGGTTGCTGTGGAGGGGTCCTGGAGGAGCTCTGTCCATCTCTGAAACAACCCCTGGGCAGTGTTGACAGCTTTCTGTACCTCTCTGTGATAAAGGGGAAGGGGAAGAAGAGAAATCAGATGTATTCCATGAACAAGTTATGGCATGGCTTAATAGTTATGATTCTGTATCATCCTTGGCCACCACCATTCCCAAAAGTATTTTTATGTCTTTACAGAAGGCTATTCATGGACAACAGTCTGAGTTCTTACCTGATTTCAGAATACAACAGCCACGTTTAAGCAGCTATATCATCAAGTTTGTTTGGGAAAACAAATTTTGTTGTTGTCTATAGTAAGACAGACTAAACTTAAATGTAGTATCAGAAGCAATCCTACTAATTAACTAAACGGCCATTAATATTCACTCACACTGCCATTGGGTATGATAGTAACTTTTACATTCAGATGAAAAAGTCCTAATACAGCTTTCTTTTTTGGGGGGTAGATGGTAAAAGAAGGGTAGAGGAGGGTTCCTCTTACACAGCCAGTCTTTTTGAAGGTAAGTATTTTAAGATGAGACATTTTAAAACCCAAAATCTCATTAGATTTCCAAGCATTATTAGCTTTAAACATGTCTATTTTCCTAGAGTGAGCAATGCTGTATAGCAAATCAGTGGGTTTCTTATTTAGAGAGTGAGACTAGGCCATTATGTGCTATGACCTAGTTAGTATGACTTAAAAGATTAGATATAGTCACAAGGTTTTAAAAACTGCCCCCCCAACTGGGCCAATACCCACCATTTAAATGTCCTACTCTAACACTACTGCATCTAAAAGCTGAAAAAGAGTCATTTTATAATCATTTGGTCTCTTGTGTACAAATACTATAACCTTCATGCTCTTAAATTAAGCTATGTGTTTTGATCCTTCTATGGTTTAAACCAATTCTTCTGACTGTTCAATCCGGGTGCTTATTGTCTACAGCTTTAAGACAGAAATCACATGCATCCCATTCTGACATTTCAAGTACCAGGAAAGGAAGCACTAACAAAATGAAAAAAGGTGTCTTAGAATATCTTGGTCTGCAAATACTGACGAGAGCTAAAAAGCTGAGTGTTAAATGGAGAATACAGCTATGGGGCCCAGTTGAATAAGTCATTGAGCTATATGAGCAACAATGAATATACTGAGGTGTGTTCATACCCAGTTTATGAACTAGTCAAGTCCTCTCATTGTTCCCTCCTATCAGCCTTATGTTTCCAGTGCTAGTGAGAAACACTATTTAACATAAAAGGGAAGGACTAAGTAAATGAGATGTAACTCTACTATTTTTACTCTTCATTGAGGTTTTTGGCTGATTTGGTAGAGAAAGAGGCACACATCTTCCCACGATACAAGGTACTTGGTTTATCTGTGAGTATGAATATCATCTATGATAAAAGATGACAGGATTAAAGAGGTATATCTATAATGATACCTCATTTTAAAGAATACAAAAATGATCAGTTCTGTAAATACAAATTCCTTTTTAAGAAAAAGAAGCCTCAAACCCAAGAAGCTTCAGGCTCAGGTATATCGCATTCTCTACCATCAGTACCCAACTATGATGCTGGAATTGAATTCTCTTAAACAGCAATCCATAAACTCCTTGATATCAGGGTTCTTTTGCACTCCTCAAAATTATTTGAAGAACCCAAATAACTTAGATTGATGTGGGATTATTTATCTGTTGTCATTTACCGTATCAGAAATTCAAATAGACATTTAAAAATATTTTACAGCAAAAACTTGTACGTTAACATAATTTTTTTTGTGAAAAGTAATTTCTAAAACACAAAAATTTAGTGAAAAGGTCGGCACTGTCTCACATTTTTGCAGATCTCTTTAATATCTGGTTTAAAGAAGACAGCTTGATTCTCACATCTGCTTCTACATTCAGTCTGTTGACATACATTTTGGTTGAAATATATGATGAAAATCCAGACTCACAAAGATGTATCATTGGAAAGGGGAGGAGTGTCTTAACAGTTTTTTCACATAACTATGGATATTCTTTTTTGACACTGTATGAAACTCAACAAGTGGTAATTTCTACAGGTTAGTTACAACACAGAACCCAAAACTTACCAAAGACTTTTTGAACTCTCATAACATTACAATCCATTCCTCTATCTTATATTTTTAATGGGATCTTTTACCTACCCATGTATGATTTTACAACATCACATACTGCTCATTTGGAAAGTATTATTTTACTGAATATCACAGAGCCTTCAAATGCTGACTCATTTCATTATACAATGTCCAAAATCATAATATGATCATACCAAACTCATTAGAAAAATTTAATTATTGGGCATCTGTAAGACAATAACAGGTGATAAAAGCTTTCCAAAATTCTACATTTTTAAAAAACGACTTTAATTTTTATCATTGGCAAAAATACTGTCAGTTGTTTTCCATCAAATGACAGGTTCACCTCACCCATTTTTGAGAAAATATCTCAAGTATTTTTAGATAATTTTGAGATTTAAGAACATATTCAAGTCTCAATAACCAGTATACCTGTCATTCTTTCATGTAAAAGTGAGATTCTAGAGAGGGAAAAAAGAACTATTTCAGCTCATAACTCAATCACAGAAGTGCTTTTTCTGGAGAAAGCCATCTTAATTCACAATATAGCAAAAGTGCTTCATGTACACTCTCATTTTGTCACATAGAATATGAAAATGTGTATCAAGGCTGGGAAAAAACATTTGTGAATTATAAATCTGATTAATGACTAGTATCCAGAATATATTTTAAAAACTGCTCAAAACTGAATAAGAAACCCAATTTAAAAATGGGCAAAAGATTTGAACAGTCGATTCACCAAAGATGACATACAAATGACAACTAAGCACATGAAAAGATGTCCAATATCATTATTCATAAGAAAAATGCAAATCAAATCCACAATGAGATAAAATAACCTAGAATGGCTTAAAATAAACACAAATGACAATGCTAAGTGCTGACTATGTGGTAGAGTAACTGGAAATCTCATGCATTACTTGCAAGAATGCAAAATGGTACAGCCATGTTAGAAAACAATGTGGCTGTTCTTAAAATTAAACATATACTTGCCATATGACCTAACACCTCACTTTTAGATGACATGAAAACTTATACACAATAACATGCAAATTCTTATGGTATCTTTATTTAGTAACAGCTCCAAACTGAAACTCCCCAACCAAATATCCTTAAACTAATGAATGAACAAGTGATGGTATAGCTGCATGACAGAATATTACTCAGCAATGAAAAGGAACAAACTACTCATACACACCACAGTATGGATGAATCTGAAATCCATTATGCAAAGTGAAAGAAGCTTGACTCAGAAGGCCAGACACTGTATGATTCCATTTATATAATGTTCTGGAAAAGGCAAACTATATATAGAGAAAATAGATCAATAGTTGTTGAGTGCTGGGCACAGGGAAAGGGACTAGAAGAGGCACACAGAAACTTTTAGGGGGGATGGATCTGTCCTATGTCTTATTTGTGGTGGTGGTAGTTACATAACTATACACAGCTGTCAAACTTCACAGAACTGTAAACTAAAAAGGGCCAATTTCAAGGTAGGTAAATTATAACTTTAAAAAAATGACAAAAAGGTCTTCAAGGATCAAGATTTGGTAAAATTAGTAACTTCTACTGTTTCATGAAGAACATTCATAAGAAAATGACTCTCTTTTCTTTCTCACTGTGAGAGAGGAATACAATGACTACTAGTACAGTTTGGAACCAGCGGCTTGATTTAGGCTAAGGCACCAGCAGTTTTACCTTCCCAAACTTCTACACCGTCAGTGTAAATGCCAACATGATGCAAAAAGCAAATAACATGGGCGTATTATGAAAAACGTTTTAAGCTGAGGGATTCTGCTGTGAAAGGCTCTGAGAACCCCTTGGGATGCAAGGACTACACTTTCATCTTTACAACTCTTAAGACACTGATACTCAGATTTGAGGCGGGGGAAGGACATGTGGGTGGAGTCAAATCTAGTAGCACAGAGGGAAATCAAGGAGTCCTGAAGTGTGCAAGAATGTAAGCAGGCCCTGAAGAAGAACTAAAGAAATGGTAGGAATTAGCAAAATGCTACAGAACAATCCCAGGATAAGTAACATTCAACACCTACCCCACAGGGTTGGCCAGTGACCTGGCTTGTTCCACTCTCAATCTCTTGCTTTTAAAAGAGATTTCATTTTTAGTTTTCATTTAGTGGCATAGACTTAAGAAAGGCAAAGTAGTCATTATTTTGCATTTCTAAGACAGTTGTGTTAAGGGATCAAGAAGGTGAAAACTGTCAATCAACAATGGCTCAGATCATGAAAAGCCAGAATGTGCAGAATGTCCAGGAGTCCCTAGATTAATAGCAGCAAAAGGGGTCCCTCAAAGTTTAAAACATGTCCCAATTTCTCTTCTTCCAATATCATTTCAGCTTAGTATTAACCTAAAAAGGAGGCATGAATGGAAAGTAGAAAGAAAATATATCACAGATCCTACTCTTCAGCTAAATATTAATGGCAACCAGAAATTCTCCACCCCCCCAAAAAATCCATGGTATTTCTGAATACTTTGAAGAGCCACAAGACACACCTAATAAGGTGAGGGACTCAAACTAGTGAGACAACCCACTCAGTTCAGAACTTGTGAATATCTGGAACTGAGTATTTAAAATCACTTTGCATCCCAAGTAAATCCATTAACAGCAACAGAGGAGGATAGAACCAAGTCGTCTGTTTGAGATTTGTGGGGATTTAAACAAGAGAAAGAGAAGAGCCCATGGAGTTTGCTTTATACAACTTTCCCAGGAAAGGAAGGGAGTTGTTTCTGGGTGAACTGGCTAGTTAAGCACTTCATTCACACAACACACACACACACACACACTCTCACTCTCACTCTCTCTCTTTCTCTTTCTCTCTCTCTCTCTCTCTCTCTCTCTCGCACCCAGCACACTGTCCACTCCACAGCTAGGCCCATGTGAGCGCTGCCCCCCGTGAGAGTGCCGTGCTCTGAGTGAGCAGCTGCCATGCTGACTCCTTAGACAGGAGCAA